CTCAGGTAACACCTCCGAACCTTCCCAAACTCTTCCCACAAGCCAGTCCCAAAGGCTCTTGAACCACATGGTCAGGTATAGTCACAGCAAAGACCCCACTTCTCTGGTACCAAATTCTGTCTTGGTTACTTTTGTCTCATTCCTGGAAAGAAATACCTGTCACCTAAAATGAAGAAGGAAAGGTTTGTTTAGCTCATTGTCTGTGGAGGTTTCAATCCATAATCAACTGGCTCCCAGGCAGGGTGGCGTGGCACGGGCAACACTTTAAGGCAGCATCCATCAAAAGCAGCCAGAGCCGGGGCGGGGGGGGGGGGGCAGGGGACAGCCTCTACTGCCTTATGTTGTAAACAGGCCAGCCTCCTCCGGGGAGGGTATAGCACTCACACCATCTCTGTGCCCTGCCCTTGCATGGGCTGAGGATGTTCACAAAGTAAGGATCATGGCTCCCTGCTGAGTCTCTGAAGTTTCTAAACTTCTTAAGTTGACACAATGTATCAACCGTAACACCTGCCAGATACAATTAAGAATGCTGGATATTATATAGGAAGCAAATAGGAAACTCAGACAGTTGGGAAGAAGAGGCCCTCGGCTAGAGACCTTATAATCAATGAAAGAGATGGTTTTCTTGGGCTTTTGTTTCACACTTGGGAGTCAACAAAGCTGGCAACTGGGATGCGCTAAGCAGTGTGAGTAAAACCAAAGCACCACCAAAAGCCTTGGGTGTAGAAACACACAAGGAGCAGTCTACAGAGAGATAAATATTAGACAATAACATTCTACACAAAGGTGAGGGCTCAGTGCACAGCTCTCTAACATCTAAGAGGGAAACTAACCGCTGCATCAGCCTGCCACCCAGCACCCAATTCTCACACTGGGGTGGCATCACAGAAGTACTAGAAAGAGAACAAAGCAGGACTTCCATTTTCCCTGCTCTGTATCCAGAAAACAATAGGGCGCCATTTCACAAGCTGGATAGAGAACCTTCAGATGCCTAGACTTTCAATTTTGCTCACCTAGGTGGAAAGAGGCCACCCTGGAGCTCAACAGCTCATTGTGGGTAAGGATCACCCAACTCACTCAAAACTTGCATTCCTATCTGGCAGAAATGAGATGCTACAGGTCCCTGCTCAGTTGGTACTGCTCCCAGTTGGTGCCATAACTCAGAAGGGCATTTTACTGTTCTGATGAGTTGTCTGCCCCAAGATAGTGGAAAACATGGTAAACACAAGTAATTCCATGAGCATGGGCCAGGTGCCACACTTCATTTGCTGTGAAGAGAGTCCTCCGATCAGAAACAGCACTGCATAGAATGCCGTGTGGATAAAGCATTATGTAGGTCCATGCAGACTCATTTTGGCACAAGCACTGCATGCAGGAATGGCAAATCAATATGCAAAGACCAGCCCCTTCTGTGATGGAAGTGGTCCACGGCAATCACCTGTCACCAGGTTGCTGGCTGGCCCCTTAGCAATGTGGCTGTACAAGGGTCTCCATCTAGATCTCTGCAGCTGGCAGCCTGGGCATGCATATATGATGTCTACCACTGCCACTATGCATATGCTGCTCATGAATCCAACTGACAGTGACAGGCATGGATGACGAAGGAGGCTGTGATCACAGGAGAAGGCACCCTGGCCCAGGGTTATTCATGTTGTTGTGGTCTCCCTTGGATAAACACTCACACAGGACAAAAATGCACCCACCTGTACTGCCCACTCAGAGAGGTCTGTCCACCCGCCTCTTCCTCACACTCCTTTGACATTAGTTTTCCAATCATGCTTCTGCTCAGTCCCTGGTAATCCAGAAAAACACACTGACCAGACGCTACCCATAAGCATACAGTGCATATCCAGTCATTATTCCTGCCAGGAAAAGTGTCCAAACATGGGCCAGAATAACACAACCAACTGAGAAAAATGTCACCTCCAAAATCCAAGTAACCTCACTGTTGTGGTCAGTGGTTTTTCAAGAGAACAGGTTTTATGCAAGACACATAAATGATCACCCAGAAAGTCAAACGCAGAAGAGTGCAAGAGCTCAGCCCGTGCATGAGACCCAAAGGATTTAGACGAGGACCTGCTCCCACAGCAATCCTCCCTACACCCCCAGTCTAGCTTGAGCCCAGAGCCTGCACCAATGCCTCATGTCAGGAGCCCAAGTAATCCAAGATGGAGGACCCAAGGGCCTGGGCTAGAAAGCCCAAGGGCTGGCACTGGAGGCAGAAGAATCTTCACCAAAAGGCTGAAGGCTCTGTATCCGAAGGCTGAGGCATCTGCCCTAGAGTCAATAAGTGAGGCTCAGGACAAATGACAAGACCAGATTGTTAATTCCTGCCACCTCCCCATGCGAAAGGCAGCCATCCCTGTGACAGAGAGAACCCAAGCTCCTCCTCCTATGAGAGCTGCTGAGTGTGAATCAGGAAAACCAGCCAAAAAAGCTTTTCCTGGAAATCAGCAGTATGAAATCCTCTCCTACCTTTCTCCTTTTATGCTGTTGACAACCATCTTCAGATGGGTCTTCCACATCCAGAACCATGCTGACTCCTCTTAACTGGGCGTTCCCACTCGGGTTAATTCACCACACCCACTAAGCATGGTACTTCCTTTTGGTTTCAAGAAGGACCAGACATCACAGCCTGTGTCACACTACCAAACCCCTAGAAATCTCACTGAAGTAGAAGGCCTCTAAATTTTAGTCAGATTTATTTTCTATCCTCTGACATGCAAATGTCTATTCAAAGAATTTAGAATAATTACTGCTTCTCACTCACTAGGTCCAATTAGCACAATCTAATCAATATAATGGACCACTGTGGTATCTCGTGGGTGGGAAAGGCCATTAGGAACTGAATTCTAACATGAGCTAGCAAGCTGATAGATCCTGAGGTAGATGAGCAAAGGTGCATTGCTGGCTTCTGCCAGCTAACATCAAATATCTGGTAGGCTGTAAGGACAGGGATAAGGACAAGGAACTGCCACATTAATAGCTACAGACCAGGCATCCAGAGATGTATTAGTTTGCTCAAGCAATGAAATCACATGTGGTGGAGCAGCTGCAATTAGTGACCTTCACCACCTGGTTCTGCTTATGATAATCCCTGCACTGCCAAGATACATCTGTCCGCTTCTGCACAGTGAAACAGGAGATAATGGGGAGGTGGCAAGAATTAGCAATCCTCCATCTTTTGAGTCAGTGATGCTGGAATCAACCTCTGCAGCCTCCTGAGAGGGTGGCACTGCTTTTGATTTACAACATTCTGAAGGCAGAAGCATTTTTTACTGGCTTCTCTTGGTTTTTCCCATCACAAGTCTATAAAGTCAAGAGCCAAGGTCGGGTTTCTGCTAGTTGCTAGGTTTGCTTTTCCCATTATGTGTTTTGGAAGTGGGGAAGTAACCAGGGGTTACTTCAGAGATTCCCGGGACCCACTCTGGGATCAACCTGAGCTTCACTGATCACCTCCACTGACCTCACCCTGACAGGGAGGCCACAAACAGTTTGGGTCTCCTGGAACCAATGCAGTTCAGAGGCAGTAAATCACAGTTCTACTGGTCTACTTCCTTCCCTCCAGCACACAGCGCTCTGGGAAAAGGGCACTCTTGGGGAAGCCCAAGGCAAAGATCAACAGTACAATGTTTTAGTTACATATTAGGTTCTACCCTGGACCTAATTCTCTATGTATTAGAAACTTAGTGTTCTTCCCAACATTATCCCCCCTTTAACACTTCACCACCACACATATTCACTGGATGTTTTTCTGACACAAATCAGAAGACTCAAGTGGTTCTTTTGGAGCAGAATACACATTCCCAAGGGCCACACTTCACGCCTCATGCTTACAAGTCTGCTGGGACTGGAGTCCAGCTGTAAGTTTGGGAGCAAAGCAAGTGTTAGGACTGGATCCTGAAGAGAATCAGCACCACTCCACATAGTAAGTGCTTCAGGAGAGGCCGTTCCCATTTATTCAGGCCATGTGCAGGCCAGGCTCCCTGGCAGAAGTGGAAACTGTGAGTGGAGAGCCACAACCACTGCATCTGGGGAGCACTTTTATGGCAGCCTAGCACACTGATCAGGAAGCCGCATCAGGACGTAAGGCTCTGTGACACCAGCCTCCTCAGGCTCCCCTCACCATCTTCATTCCAGCTCACTAGGTCCCATCGTTCCCGGGCAGCCTTTGTCTTAACAGCACCTGTGCTGGGAGGCATGAGACCAAGCTGCCTGTGACTCATTCGGGCAGAGGAGGCAGCTTGGATCTGAGCTCAGCAATGCCAGTCCATAGCTACAACAGATAAGGCTCTCTTTTTTATTTGAATTTTTAAAAAAATTCAACATTTATTTTTTTCCCCAAATCCATTTTATTTTAGGGATAAAAAGAAAAAGAAGGGGAAAAAACTACAATATTTCAAAGCCTGTCCATCAGGGGACAACAATGGTACATACGTTGCACATTGACATCCCCAAATCATTCACCCAGAGCACACGACATCCGCATTCTATTGTCCGAACAAGACCAGCACTTATCTTTCTGTTCAGCAAACTCAGAGAAATCAGTAGTATAACTAGTTTAACTATTTTTAATATATATATACCTGTGCATGTTTTGTTTCAGATTACACTGAAACATTTACATATGTGTTATTTATTTCACTAAGGAGTATGCTCTCAAGTTGCATCCATTTACTTGTAAGTCTCCACTTTATCATTCTTTACAGCTGAGTAGTACTCCACTGTATATGAATACCACATTTTTTATCCATTGCTCAGTTGATGGACATTTAGGTTGTTTCCAAGATCTAGCTACTACAAACTGTGCTGCTATCAACATGGGTGCTGTCTTACTTGTTGCTGAGACAAAATACCTGATGCCCAAAGTCAGGAAAAGTTTACTTCTTACACTTCTTGGAGATTTCAGTCCATACTCAGCTGAATTCAAGGCAGGGTGGCATGGTGGGGCTGCCGTTCATGGCCGCTGCAGACAGCAAAAGCACAAACTGGAAAGAGAGAAAGAGACAGACCTTCTTCCCACCCATATATCATATACTGGCTCCATCCTAGGCAGGTATAGCACTCACACCACCCATCCAAGTGCTAGATAACAAGCCATCACAAATGCTAGATTTGGTCAAGTCCATAACTGCATGAGACTTGGGGACCACTGACATAAACCATGATATGTGCATATACATCATTGTGGTATGATATTTTTAATTCTTTTGGGAAGATACCCAGAAGGGACAGAGCTAGGTTAAATGGGACCTCTAGCTCTAGGTTTTTTTTTTTTTTTTGAGGAATCTGTACACTGATTTCCACAGTGCTTGCACTAGTCTGCATTCTCACAACAGTGGAGGATACCTTTTTCCCCACAGCCCCTCCAGAATTTGTTATTGGTTGATTTCTTGATAGTAGCATTCTTTCTGGGGTGAGGTAAAATCTCAGTGTTGTTTTAATTTTTATATTTCTTCATCTAAGAAGTATGTATGCATCGCAGATGCTCATTTTCGGGTTAGTTTTTTAAATCTAGAAGCACTGATTTTTTTTGAGCTCTTTATATGTTCTCAATAGTGATCCTTTGTCTGAGGAACAGCTGGCAAACATTTTCTCCCAGGTTGTGGGTTGTCTCTTTACCCTGTTGGGTTCTCTTGCTGTGCCAAAGCTTTTTAGTAGGGTGAGATTCATTGTTGACTCTTTATGATAGTTCCTGTGCAATCTGGGTTTTGTTCATGAAGTCTTTGCCTATATCAATGTCTTCCAGAGTTTGACTGTCTTCCAGCAGATTTAACGTTTGTTTTAATATTAACATCTTTGATCCATTCTGATTTTAGCTTAGTGCATGGTGAAAGATATGAATCCAGTTTTAATCTTTGGCACGTGTAGGGCCAGTTTTTCCAGGGACATTTACTAAAGAAGGTATCTTTCTTCCACTGAATATGTTTGGTACGTTTGTCAAAGATAAAGTGCCTGTGTGTAGAGTTATTTCTGCATCTTTTAATCTGTTCTGTTGACCTCTGGGCCTATTTTATGTTGTTGTTTTGCCAGTACGAGTTTTTTTTTTTTGGGTTTGTCTTTTCCTTTTTATCAGTACCGGGAATCAAACTCACGACTGCCTGCTTGCAAGGCAGGCACTTATGCCGCTAACCTAAAACCCCAGCCCCTTATACCACAGTTTTTTATCACAGAAACTTTATAGTATAATTTCAAGTCAGGTATTGTGATGCCCTCTATCTTGTCTTTGTTGCCCAGGATTGTCTTTGCTACTCTAGGTCTCTTCTGGTTCCAGATGAATTTTAAGATTGTTTTCTCTAATTCTGTGAGAAATGAAAATGCTAATGAAATTTTGATTGGTATTACACAGAATCTGTAAAGCAGTTTTGGAAGTATGGACATTTTCACTATATCGGTTCTTTCTATCCAAAAGCATGGGATATCTCTACATTTTTTAACATCCTCCTCCAACCTCCTTTTTCAGAGCACTGTAATTTTTAATGTAGAGATCTTTTACATCCTTTGTTAGATTGATTCCTATGTATTTCATTTTTTTTTTTTTGGATGCTACTGTAAATGGCATTGTTTCCCTGATTTCTCTCTCAGTGAGTTTGTTATTCATGAACAGGAAGCCTATTGACTTTTGAGTGTCGACTTTGTAACTAGTTCCATTACTGAATTTGTTTATTAAGTGTAGAAGTCTTTTGGTGGAGTTTTTTGGGGTCTTCTAAGTAGAGTATCATGTCATCAGCTAATAATGATAGTTTAACTTCTTCCTTTCCTATCTTTATTCCCTTTTTTATCTTGTCTAATTGCTCTAGGTAAAGTTTCAAGGACTATTTTGAGTCAGAGTGGAGACAGTGAACATCCTTGTCTTGTTCCTGATTTTAGAGTGAAAGCTTTGAGTTTTTGTCCATTTAGTATGATGTTGGCCGTTGGTTTGTCATGTATGACTTTTATCAGATTGAGATAAAGACCATCTATTCCAATTTTTTGTAGCGTTTTTATCATGAATGGGTACTGGACTTTGTCAAAACCTTTTCTGCATTTATTGAGATGACCATATGATTACTGTCCTTGACTCTGTTAATATGATGCATTACCTTTATAGATTTACATATGTTAAACCATCCCTGCATCCCTGAGATGAATCCCCCTTGATCATGGTATATAATCTTCTTGATGATTTGTTGCAGTCTTGATTGCCAGTATCTTATTGAGGACATTTGCATCAATGTTTAATAGAGATATTGGTCTGTAATTCTCTTAGTTGGGTCTTTCTTTGGTTTCAGTATCAGGGTAATGCTTGCTTCCAGGAATAAATTTGGAAGTACTGCTTCCTGTTTAATTTCATTACAGAGTTTGAGAGGTAGTGGTGTTAGGTCTTCTCTAAATTTCTTGTAGAATTCAGCAGTGAATCTATCAGGGCCTGGCCTTTCTTTGCTAATAGGTTTTTAACTACATCTTTGATTCCATTAATTGATATTGGATTATTTAGAATTTCTATATTCTTTTTGATTCAGCTTTGGTAATTCATATGTATCTAGGAATCTGTCCATTTCTTAGTTTTTTTCATCTTGTTAGGATACAAGTTTTCAAAGCAGGTATAGATGATCATCTGGGATTTCTGCAGGGTCGGTTGTGATTTCACCCTTTTTATTCCTAATTGCATGAATTTCCTTTTTTGGTTGTTTGATAAGGTTGGCTAAGGGTTTGCCAATTTTATTCAATTTTTCAAAGAACCAACTCTTCAATTAATTGATTCTTTGTATTGTTTTTTAGTCTCCAGTGTGTTAATTTCTGCTCTGATCTTTATAACTTGCTCCCTTATACAAGATTTTGGTTTATCTTGTTCTTTTTCTAGAAGTTTGAGGTGGAACATTTGAATTCTGAGATCATCTTTACTTTTGTTCGGAGACATTAGCAGCAACCAAGCAACATTAGTTTACTCCTTTTTCCAAAACTGCAGAAAATTATAATGCCCAAAATTAACCAGCTCTTAAAAGTGGTTGATTAGGAGACTCCAGTGCAGCACCTCTGTATTGTTCTGAACCGTATTTCTCTGAACACTATGAATAATGTCTTTAATACTGAAGTGCAGCCAGTCACTATCAGATTAGGGAGTCAATTCTAGAAAACACAGAACCAACCTCTAAGACTCATTCTTAGAATTGTTCCAGTAGAATCACTCTTGTCACAAAAAACTGCACTACCCAGAGTTCTCCAAAGAATTGGATCAATAACACATACATGCACACACATGGAGTTCCATGCTTATGGGTTCAATCAACTGCAGAATGAAAATATTTCTCAAAAACTGTGTTTGCATTGAACAGGTATAGACTTTCCTCTTGCCTAAGAAGCCAATATAGTAATGATTTACTCAGCGCCTACATTGCACTAGGCATTACTGTATATCAAACTCTGTGGATGGCTAAGTCCCTTATATAAACTGGCAACTATTCACTGAGACTCATTATAGGAATAGGTTCACACAATATGGAGACCACACCCCCTGCTCACATTTGCTATAGAATCAGAAAGGCTAGGAGTACAAAGCCCAGTGAGTGGGGGAGCTGGAGGACAGGAGGTAAATTCCGCCTCATCCAAGGACCAGAGGCGCCAGCATCCCAAGGCAAGTGGTGATGAACACTGCAGCTCACTCACAGGCAAGGAGCGCCCTCTGTCTGCCCTCTTCTTCTAGCTACGCCCTCAGCGGACCAAGCCATGCGCCCCTGTGGACTTAGTTAATTCCATCAATCCAAATGCCAATCATTTCCAGAAACGTTCTCATGGTTACAGCCAGAGAAAGTAGTTTTATTCTGCTCTCTAGGCATCCTTTAGTCAGTCAAGGTGACACATAAAATGTACTATCACTGGATAGTAGATTTTCTCCGTACCAGATCAGAAGCAAACCTGCCAACACCATCTGCCATGGTGCTCAAGGTGCACAGAGGAAACAATAAGACAATCAGAGTTTCTCAGGTGGACAGGGTATGTAAAAATAAATGGAAGTAAAGGTTTTACATTTTACCTAAAGTAACAAAATAATGCCAGGAAGCATCAAAAGTATGTTTGAATATTACAGCTGATGGCCCCTAGAATGTAAATAGTATAAAAACATGTTTCATCTTTAATAGTCTGATTTCAGATTTTATTAATTAAATTCCAAGCTGTCAGAAAGCAAAGAATTAAATACCCTTCTGTGGTGTTTCTCCTTCCCAAGAAAGTACTGTTCATTTTTCTTGAGGAAATTAGAACTAGATGTGTATATGCCTATGATAATGAAATACACTGAGAAATGAGAAAATTTAATGCTAAGCTTGAGTGAAACACTTGGTTAAAAGTGTTTTTTATAACTACCCCAATTTAATGAATATTCCTATGAAATAAGAATCTACTGTTCACTGTAGCAAATGATGTAGGGGAAGCTCTCTAACTCTGCTGGAGGAAAGGCAACAGAGCCTCAGGGGCCACCCAGGTCTCCTGTCAAGGCTTCAGACTCCAGGCTGGCAACAGGGCACATGGTACTCATCATCACCTGTGAATGGGTTAGCAAAGCGGGTGGCACTTCAGTGGCATTCAGTGTCACATCAGTGTGACTGGAATAAAGAAAGAGCACAAAACTCCCCAAAGCTATTCGCTACTGTCTGATAACCCTAACTCTAACAAAGTGAATTTCTCTCTCTCTCCCAAGTCCTATGTTGATAGCCTAAGCCCCAGAAACTGGGGAAATGGCTGTATTTGGAGACATAAAATAGATGCAGGCATTTAAAGATAAGGCCCTCAGAGGTAAAATGAGCCCATTAGTGTAAACCCCAACTTGATCAGTGTCCTCAATAAAGAGATCAGGACAGAGACACACACTCAGGGAAAGGCCTTGTGAATACAAAGCCATCTTCAAGTAATGAAGACAGATGAAACCAACTCCACTAACAGCTTTAACTCAAGTCTTCTCAGACTCAGAGTCATAACACAACAAATTTGTGTTATTAAGTAACCCAGAATATGGTATTTGTCTAACATCCAGTCCGTGGTACTGTCAAAAATACATCCACAACAATGTGCTCAGCTACACTCTAACAAAGACGCCAGTCATGTATTGAAAGAAGCATGGCATTTTCATTACATACTTCTGGAGGAATGAGACACTCACAGGAAAGCAGCAACAACAAAAATATCTTCAGCGAAGTACCGCACATTTGTAACTTCAAAAAAATAGGTCCAAATCTTCAGGATACAGGAGTATACACACAGTTCTTAAGTTTCATACCAAAAGGAGATTAAAAAGGGGTGAGGGATTGGTACATCTGATTTCATAAAAATTACAAAGCTCTTTTCTATGAAAATCCATGTGAAGATGAGGAAAAGACAGCTATTATCTAACAAAAAATATTTATGAATAAAACTGGAAAAAGGAATATGACCTAGAATATACGAACTCTGAATCCAGAAGTCAAAAACAATTAAACTAGAAAAACAGTTAACAGAAATCGCACAGAAAATGTGCAAGTGGCAAAAAAGAGCAAGAACAAAAACGCAAATAAAACCATGATGGGCCATTGCCCCGAGATTAGAAAGGCGAGCATGAATATTCACTAAACCCGCTGGCAATGAGACACAGGAAAGCGCTCACCCACTCAGTGCTTGTAGGATGGAAGAGCGACTATCATATAACCCAGAATTAATGTCCCAAATGTTATTCTACATAAAACACAGTGCATGAAATTTACAGAAGCTTTAACTGCAGCAGTCAAAAACCAGGTCTCCACCAGGTCAGCGCTTAAACATAACTGTGATACATGCATCACGGTGATGCTACCACGAAGAACAAACCACTGACACATGGACCACCTGGAGTGAATGTTCATGTTCTTAAATCATCCCACTTTAAAAATGGACAAGAAAAAATTAGACCAGCAGTGGGAGAGAGTCTAGAGGGAGTTGTGGTTACAGATAGGCGGCACCCGCATCTGGGCTGTGCAATTGTTCTGGGTTTCCATTACAGTGGTGGACACAAGATCCTACACAAGTGATGAAACTATATACACTTGACAAACAAAATGAAGACAAGTAATTGGGAACAGTCAAAGAAGAGCATTAAACAACAGCAACGTCAACAATCCTTAGTTGTGATAGCATACTGTTTATTTGAAAAAAATGTACAAGGAATCTCTTGAAATTATTCTCGTAACTATAAATTCACCTAGTTATCTTCACAGTTTTCAATTGAAAATGCTGAAATAATTGATGTGTTAATGTCTTTCTAGTCAGTGCTGTGGCAGTTTCAAAACATGGATCTATGATACAGGTTCTATGGTGCATGTCCTACAGAATAGAGAGAGTACAGTAAGAAGGGAAACAGAAAAATCCTTTATTTCCAAAGACAAAAAACACTAACACACATGATGAAGATATCTGCTTCTTTCAATAAAATCAGAAAAAAGTATTAGATGAGATTTAACAGCATTTATAATATAACCCAGTCGATAAAGAACAAAAGAGAACGTCCTCACTTTGAGAAATAATGTCTATGAAAATCTAATGCTATTACCACACCAAGACTGCAGGCTTTGCCTGTGAGACTAGGAACAGGGAATACTACCTATGTTTAGTGTTGGGTCCTAAATTCTGCTGATTCAAACAAGATCAGAAAAGAAAAACAGATATGACAACGCTAAAGAAGTAACACTGTCTTTCTTTGAATATGATTTGAATATTTGCACAAAAATCCTAAGCAATCTATAAAACAGCTACTGTAATTCACAAGTGAATTTAATAAACTGTATGATATAAATATGGAAACACCTTTGGAAATTAAAAAATCTGGGGAAAATGACAGCTATAATTTTTTATGAAAAATAAATTAATAGCAAAAGCAAGTAAGACCAAATAAATGAAAAATCCTTCATATAATCAATTACATTTAATGGGAAAGTATTTTATAAACTATATTTATTTTTGGATGCAGTTTTTTCTTACTATTCAAATTCCTAACTGTGGAAATTTGATATATTTTATAAATATATAAGATGCTTACTTACACACTGAGATATTCATTCAACTTTTTTTCTGTTTCATATATAGCATACCTTAGATAATCTTATGAAATATTCACAATCATGGCCTTTACATGTCTTGGGTCCTTTTTCAGTGTCTAGAGATGAAACTGAGAAAATAAATTATATTTTATCATGGGTACAGATACTATACCACAAAATTTAAATAGGCTTTTGAGAATTAACATGATTATTTGTCTAATATTTTTCTTCCATTAAACAATACTTTTAATGCTAAATGATTGTTCAGTAAAAATCTAAGTGCAATATTTATCTAAATCAAAAAAGTCACTTTTACTATAAATAAAAATTACTTTCTTAATAATGCTTGGTTACTTTACTTTTATAAAATTTTAACAACAGAATTACTTCAACTTTTATAACGTATGTATCTGTAGGTTGCAATCATTCAGTTCTCTCTGCTCAGATAATAGAGTGTGTGTCACCAGACTAATTCAGTTCTCTACCCCTACCTGCCAAGTGTGAAGGGAGATAATCTATGGTGCCAGGTACGGGGAAAACCCAACACTTGGGAGGCTGCAGCAGGAGGAATCACAACACTTGTGATTTGAGGCCAGCTTGGGCAATTCAGTGACTTAGCAAGACACTAAGAATAAAATGTCAAAGGCCCTGAGTTCAATCCAAGTATGCACAAAATAATACAAAACAAAAACTATGCCAACAGTACTGGAAAGGGAATGAGGTTGGACTACTGTAGTGGCACAATGACCGAAATTACAAGGGTATTCCCCTAGGAATGTGCTTATTTACTTAAAAACATCACTGCCCAGGCACCATGTGCCTGGCCGTAGGTATTTGGTATATATTATGTTAACCAAATCAGAACAATCCCACAGGTTTAAAACTGTGTAAATGAGTAATATCTTTGTAAGATCATCTGAGGAAATTCCTATAGTGCAATCAAGACAGAGAAATCAAAAAGGGAATACGAAATAGCTGACTCCAAAGATTTCCAGTAATTAATCTTTCTAAATTATAAAAGTTTTAGTACCAGAAAGTTCAAAATCTCCCCTAGTTATTTCCACTATCCACCAAAACACATGGAAAGAAATTTTATTTGTGGCCCCAGATCTAGCACTAATAAACACAAGCATATCGTTTAATTTCTTTTCAGGCTTTCACTCTGTACTCTGTAAACCAACAGGCTGAATAATGTGATTTTATCATGCTTTATAGCTGTGAGAATGTCACTAAACCACAAATCTGTCAAGTCTAAAAATGCCATCTATAATTTAATGACTGGCATGTGCAATGTTATTTTTGCCTAAGTCTTGCCATATCCTAGTAGCCATCCTAGCCTCTTCTCAAATATGCACTGTGCTAATTGAGTACACGACTGCCATGGTTTGTGTCTGGATGTTCCCCAAGGCCTCATGCACTCACAGAGGGGGTTTGGCGAGGTGACCGACTCATGGGGTGCTATACCTAAATGTGCCACTAAGAGGCGGGGTTTGGTCAAGAGGGGTCACTGGGGTGTGACCTGGCAGAGTTCTCTCCCTCCCCAGCTGGTCCCCTTTCCCCCTGCTGCCTGGCCACCAAGATGTGAGCTGCTCTCCTCTGGCAAGCCCTTCTTGCCACGCTGCTTCTGCCCTGGAGTCAGCCAGAAGCCTCTAGAAAACGTGAGCCAAAAAAAAAAGTCCTCTTCTTCTTTAAGTTGCAGGTGTTGGGTATTCTGTCCCAGGACAACAAAAGAGACAAAGACAGTGACTCAAAGAAGTTCATTTTCCATAAACATCTTTCAAATCAGCAATCATTGTCCGTGGAATTTAGTCGTCCATTTCCTTAGTAACGTCCTTTCCCCTCCTTCAGAAACCACAGAGCACATGAGACAGCACAGACACAGATGCTCTAGACAAAGCTCTGAGTTAGTTGTTACCAGTATGGCCAAAGAGCTAAAGAAAACCATGTACAAATGACCCAGAGAATGCTGTCTTGACAACTAGAGAATGTTGATAAAGTGAACGAAGTTATAAAATGCAAACCAATAGTGTTGGGGATGTAGCTCAATGGCACAGCTCCTGCCGGGAAGTGCAAAGTTCTGAGTTCAATTCCTGGTACCAATAAAAATTCTAGAGCCTAAAGTTATAACTGAGAGGAATTCATTAAAGATTTACAGCAACAGATTTGCAGAGACAGAAAAAACAATCAACGAACTGGAAGACACATCACTGAAATTATTCCAAAAGAGAAGAAAGAAAAAAGGAACAATATTTAAGAAAACCTGAGCAATCTGTGGGACAGCAAGTATATCAACATATGCATAAAATAGTAGTCACTGGAATAAAAAAGGAGAGAAAAAGAAAGAATATTTGAAAAACTAATGATTAAAAATCCCCCAAATTTGACAAAATACATAAATCTACATATACGAGAGAATCAAAGGAATCCACATATGTCCAAGAGAAATGCAAGGAATTCCACACTCAGATATATTATAATCAAACTTCCAAAACATGGAAGACGAGAAAATCTAGAAGGCAGAGGGAAGAAGTGATTTGCCACATGCAGGGGACCTATAATCAAATGAACATATGATTTCTTATTAAATATCACGGAGGCTAGAATGTAGGTTGTCCATTAAAAACCCACTTAACACAGCAATGCATAGACAGATTAAAAGTCAGCAAATGGAGAAAACAGACCAGGCTACTCTGGAACTAAAGAAAGCTAAATAGAAATCAGACTAAAAAAGTATCAGGAGTAAGTGGACTCTTTTTATTACAACAATAGGGCCTAGTCTCCATATACATAAGTACCTTTCATATGTATGGAGTAACATGAGTGTAAAGATAAATATTTAAGACAAAAACTGGCAAAACTGCAAAGTGAAGAAGAATCACTAGTCACTGTTAGGTAGGGAGACATCAACACCCTTCTACGAGTAACTGGAAAATCCAGAAAGCAAGAAATGAGACCAGAGGAGACCTGACCAGCAACACCCGTCAGCAGGACCAGCTGAATATTTAGATATGCTGTTTCATCCAATAGAAGTGGACTATCTGCATCTCTTTCTCAAAAAATATTCACAGAAGAGACCCTATCTGGGGCCATAAAAAAATAGATTTCAAGGAACAGAAACTGCACAATGTATGCAGACTAGAACAGAATTAAACTAGAAACTCATGATAGAAAAACAGAAAACTCAAAAATATTTAGATATTAAATATATTTATATCAAATCTTAATAAAAATTATATATTTCAAACTAAATGGGAATGCAACTTATCAAAATTTATGGCGTGCAGTAAAAAGAGAGAAATTTATATCTTTGAAAATGCAGACTAGAGAAAAAATTACATAAGTTCAATTACTAAAGTTTCTATTTAAGAAACTTTTAAAAGGAAGAGCACATTCAAGTCAAGAAAATAGAAAAATAATGTAAAGTTTTGAGGAAAAATCAATAAAATTAGTAACAAAAAATCAAAATGTGAAATCAAAATCTAGTTGTCTAAAATAGCATTAATGGATAAATCTCTGTGGGGAAAAAAAGAGAGAATCCACTACAAAAAATAAAAATCACATTATTTCTGATTTATAGACCCTAAAAGAATATTAAGAAAATACTAAGAAAATCACCTGAAACATGATGACCTAGATGATATGGACAAATTCTTAGAATCTATGAAAACACACAAGAATAAGAAGAGAATTTGCTCTGTATGAATTAAAGAAACTGAGTAACTACTTTCCCAAGTTGTACTTGAAAATGATGGTTTCACTGGCAAATAGTTCTGTATGAATTAAAAGAAACTGAGTAACTACTTTCCCAAGTTGTACTTGAAAATGATGGTTTCATTGGCAAATTCTACCAAAACTTTGAAGAAACAAATTATACCACGGCCCACAATATATCCCAGAGAATATGTGTGCTCACTCCAGAATGGGCGGGGACATTTGGGAACTGGTCTCTGAGGACATTATAGGAGGACAGGATTACGCTACTACTAAACCAGATCAATACATTACAGGAGAGCACAATTACAGACAGATGCCACTAATGAACATTAATATACAAATTATCAACAAGATAGTAGCAAATTAAACTCAATAATGTATTAAAAAGCAATATACCTTGGGAGGAACTGGCACTTAAGACAGGTAAACAAGTCTGGTCCAACACGTAAAAATCAAAATACATTGACAAGGTGAAGAAAATCAATCCCATGGCAGATGGAGAAAAACACTGCATGAAGTTCATTACCTTTTCTTGACAGAAACTCAGCAAACTAACAAACTCTCAGCTTCATAAAGAACATCTCTAACACACTCACTGCAGCTCCATCGTGATACAAAAACAGAACTCTAGAGAGTTTCTTCCTAACACTGGGAAAAGGGAAGGCTACATTCCTTCTCCATTACTATTCGGCATTACACTAGGAGTCTTAAAGAAGACATTAATATGAGGAAAAGACGCAAGAAGCACATGTGTACACACATAAGGGAAGAAGCAAGGCTCCTCATGAATTACGTGATGTCTGTTCCAAAAACACCAAAGATCAACCAAAGAATAGGAACAAATAAGCAATAACAGCAAGACTTCAAGATACAAGATTAACATACAATGTCTAAAATGTGTATACAATCAAAAAGGTTCCTGGCCAAAGAAATTCTGAGAAAAGTCTCTAACCTCATTACAAAACAACAGTAACCAAACAGTAGCAGCATAACAACATACCCGCGGCCTAGTGGAGCAGATAAGAGAGCTCAGGAATAAGTGCAAGTATAGTGATCAGCTGAGTTTCAACAAGGGCACCAAGACAACATAGCAAGTGAAGGGTAAACTGATATGTGCACCTAAGAGAATAAAATCAGACACTTACATTGCACATACAAATCAAAGAATTTAACCTATGACCTGAGACTCCCTGAGGAAAACAAAGGAGGAATGATTCTTGACGCCGGGGTTGGCAATGACTGTTTAACAGTGTATAAACAGTTCAAGCAACGTAAGCAAACAAGGGTGCAAGCTTGTGCAAAGCTTTGTTAAAAAAAAAAATACATATATATATATATATATATATATATATATATATATAAACCAGAATATATGAGGAACTCACACAACCCTAGCAAAAGAAATAATAATAACATGATTTAAAAATAGGCAAAAGATCCAAGTAAAATATTTTCCCAAGAATACATAAAGATGCCCAACAGATATATGAAAACCTATTCAATAACAATATTTATTTAGAAATTCCAATCAAAAGCACAGTGAGACTGTTTTCATAACTGTTGGGGTGGTCATAATCCAAAAGATAAGTGAAAACATGTTGTGGAAGAAGTGGGGAAAAGGGTGCACAATGTCAGTGGGAATGTACTCATAGACTGCTGGGATGCTCAGAAAAACAACACAGAACTACCTTAAAGAATTAAAACACAACTATCATATAACCCCGCAACCTTTCCTGTAGGCTCACCTCAAAAAGGAGCTGCAATCAGTACGGAATAGAGACATATGACATATTCATATGACGAATACGATTTGCAGCTGTCTATAAGCCCTTCAATATGTGTATGAATATAAAAATATGCTGTACACCTTAAATTTAGATAATAAAAATCAAAGAACCAAAGTGACTGCTATCCTATGACATGAATGAAACAATGCAAATTGAAATTAAAGTATAATGCCTTTCTATTTTAAAAGTATAAAATACTTAGATATAATTCTAATAAAATATAATGTAAAAAGGAAAGTATAGTACGTATAGTGTGAAAAAGAAATTAGGAAAATAATGAGGAAAATAGTTGACTTACAAGAACATCACAAAGAATAACTTATTTAGGGGTAAATTTGCCAGTGGGTTTGCTATACTGAAATAATAAAATTCCACTGAAAGAAAGTAATGAAGTCCTAAATTAATAGAAAAGTATGCTGTGGTCATGAATTGGAAGACAATATTGTTAATGTGGCAGTAACATCTGTCTTATTTACTTTTCTCCTTGTTGAGACAAAACACCCAAAATTAAAGGAAGGAAGGTTTATCTGCTCATAGTTTGAAGACGTTTCAGTCTACAATCAGCTGATTCCAAGGTAAGCTGGCAATGCAGAGGGGCTTTTCAGAGAAGAAACAGTCAATGGCAGGCAGAAGGTAGCAAAGGAACAAAGGCAACCATGACTCTTTGTATTCTTTATGTCTTATCCAGGCTGCTCAGGGCAAGTAGCATTTTCTCCATGAGACAATCCCAGCATCACACACTCCAGATTCAGTCACCTTTGAAAAAGCCCCACCTATGACCATATAAACTTTGAGGGGACATTTAGACACAAGCCATAACAACATCCAAAGCTACATGCAGATTTACTGCAATCCCTATCAAAACATCAAGGGGTTTTTAAGGCAGGAATAGGAAAGCAGATAACAATAATCATATGGGAATGCAATCACCCTCAGTTGACTGAAGACACTGAAAAGGAAGTGTAAAGTTAGAGGACTCTCATTTCCTGATCCAAACTTCATCAGAAAGCTGCTAAAGCCAAAAAGATGTGCCACTGGCATCAGGAGCATAGCACTATAGACACAGAACCATGCAACTGACAGGGACCTCCAAAACAAGCTAATGCTCTGTGGCTATATATAAAGGAGTCTACCAACTGAGGAAAAAGAGACACACAGCCTAGCTTAAAAACACTTCTCCAAGAAAATGCATGAATCACCAAAAGCACAGAAAAAGATTACAGACAATATCTGCCACTGGGAAGTGCAAACAAGTTCACAACGGCTCATTGCTACTTAATGTTATCACTTTCTCTTACAGATTCAAACACACAAGCTTTCCAGGAATATGTCTTCCCATGAAAAAGACCAGGGAACAAAGATTTCACCTCTCCTTTGAACGCTAGTAATAGGTCCTAGAAGAGCTAAAGAGTGAGTCTATTGCTAGTAATGTATCTCGGGGGCTAGTGAAAGTTTTTCTACATTTTCTAGGGAAGAGGAGATAAAACAGTAAGGAAGACAAAAGATTGAAAATGAGGTTGAACAATCTTGTTCTTTACCTTTAAATCTTTGTGCTTCTCAGCTGTGTCTCTAAAATATCAACCTTAGAAGACAAGAGAGGGGGGAGGGAGACAGTAGGAGAGAGAGGAAAGTGAGTAAAATGGGTAAGTGTAAACAAATACTGAGGGCAGACAAATCTAGGAAAATAAGAGAAAGCAAGGAAAAGAGAGAAGGACTACAGTGAGCAATTGCATAGGAGCTGAAATAGGGACTGCACATCCTTCCAAGCAGTGGGTGGGTTTCCTAAGAGATCAGTCATAATGGACCGTCCATAAACCTAAAGTCCCCAAGAGAATACTGGATCCCCATTCCACATTATAAGGAAAAGCGCAATATTAGCCCATCTTATATTTTCAAAAGTGTAACCTCTATAACTGAGTATCATGAGCACTGCACTGTTTTGTTTCATAGTAAATTACCACTCCAGGGATTAGCATATTTCACTGAGCAAACTTTACGCTTTTGTTTTGTTTTGTCTTGTTTTTGGTACAGGGAATCAAACTCAGGACCTTGTGCTTGCCATGCAGGTGCTTGTGCCACTGAGCTATATCCTCAGCCCCAAAATTTACGCTGAGTGCACAATTCAGTGAGATTTAGGGGATTAATAAGTCAAAGTACAGAGCAGAATATATGTTTATAACATTTATATTTTTAAAAAGCTTTTGATAATTAACATGTCTTTAAAATTGGTTATGCATTGTAAACTTGTTTTTTAAAACTTTGCAAATACTTACCTGAAAATGTAAAGAACATTTCATTTTGCAAACCAGCCTTTTGCATTTTAATACGATGGCACTGAGACTTAAGTAAGGAGATCTCACATGAAAGGTCAAGAACCAATTTGCTTAAAATCTGAAGAAGCTTCTTCTCGAAAGAAACATTATAGACACTATTGCAGGGGGCTGCATGGTACCGAGCTGTGAACTGGTAATAATAATGAGGCTCACGATAAGCTGTCAAGTTGGAGAGAGACGGACACAGACATGGTTATTTAGGTGAACAGCGAAAACTGCAGCTCTCAGGGATAAATCATTATGTGAGATACATTAACATAACATTTTATATATGGCTATATTCACTCCCATATAAAAACCCTTTTCTAACAGTTACTAAGTACCAAATACAGTTAGAGACACTTTACAAATACTGACTCCCTTAAGTCTCAGCCTCATTTAAAACTGTATTGTTATTCCACCCACCACGGAGAAGTTGAGGGACACAGGTACAACAGCATATGTTCAATACCTATGCCCTGAGAACTAAGACTGTCCACCACTACACGTGCTTCTCACAGTCAGGCTTAACACTTCTCTATGTCTGTGTATTCATCTTAGAAGTCTACATTCAGTGCAACTTTAAAATGTGGTGACTGCACTTTAAAAAAAAAAATTTTCACTATCAATAAAAACATATCCCCGTGAATCCCCCCGCGCACTCCTGCTTGCTTCAAACGCACTGACCCCTCATCCTTGGGCTTCCTTAAGCAGTCCTGGCTCAGGCCTCTAGCATTGTTGCTGTGGCTGTCTTCATGGATTTAAACATTTACCTTCCGTGTGCATTCTGCCTTTGCGGGAAGCACCAAAGTCAGAGGGTGCCTGATCCAGTGAGTACCAGGGATACGGACACGGCACCTTCACACTGCTACAAGCCTGCCTTTGCGCTGGAGGCCACCCACCAGCAGCTGCATTTGTGACTGCACCATGCGACAACACTCAGGGAAGAAAACTCCCAGAACTGCTTCAAAAGCTGGCAATAATGATGGCATAGGTATGTTCAGTGCCAGCAAGTGTGTTTCAGGGAAATGCATGGCCATGTGTCTTCTACTGTGATTTTATTTTATTAATTTATTAGTTTTGGTATCAGCATTCAAACTCAGGACCTTGCATGTGGCAGGAGGCGATATGCCACTGACTATATCCCAAGCTCTTTACCTGTAATTTTAAAAAATGATTTTTAAGGGCCAGGGATATAGCCTAGTGGCAAAGTGCCTGCCTGGCAAGTGAGAGACTGTACATTCAATTCTCAGTACCAAAAAATTGAAAAATAAAAAATGATCTTAAAATCTTTGATCACATCTAATAATTACCAAAATTCAAAGTAGTTGTTTCTAATAACTCTATAGTTTTATTGAGTTCAGTACAACATGTAGAACTAAAAACAGGTTATCTTTTGAAGTTCGTCCCCAAACCGTCTTTGAAATATACAAGAACTACAAAAATGAAAACAAATATACAACACCACCAAAAATCAGGAAGGTTCACCTGCCAAGGCCAAATGCTTTGCCACCAGTCGGTCTTCTGCCCCGAGTGGCCCTGAAACCAGCGCTACCACTGCCCACTGCCCACCGCCTTGTACCCGTGTGCTGAAACAAGCACATGTTCTTAGCTACTGTGAGTCTGTGCTCACTGCGGGGGACAGACAGCTTCTAATCGCCGCTGAAACATCCACCAGCTTCACATGCAAATCAAAACAGAAACCGGACTCACCCGCCTCACCTCTGGAGAACTCCAAGACCACGGGAGTGAGAATTAACAAACCAAGAGGAAGAAACCTAACAGGTAGTTAATGGAGGAGGGAATCAATGAGTTTTTAAAACTCTAAACAGTAAAGACAAAAACACATGAAATTATTACAAAGCTATTGTCAAAGAGGATTAGCACATACAGTTATCCTCGAAAAACTAAAACATGTGAAATACTGACACTGAAAAACTAAATCAAATCACAACAGGTAAAAATGCAATAATTTTGTAGATTACAAAATAAAAAATTCTTGCATAGAATATTATAAAATTAGAAACAAATTAAAACTGTAAGAACAACATACAGTTAGGAACAGAAGATTTCCAGAACAGAGCAGAGTCAACAGAAAAGAAGTCAATCAAGGGACAGGAAAAGTACTGTGTAAGCTGAAAAAAAATGCATGTCAACACACCAACAGGGCTGACTAAATAGCGCGCAAGAGTACTGAAAATAAATGCCAAGCACCATACTGCACAGATTCTTCCCAATGTCCAGTGCAATACAGAGAGCACACAATAGCGTACATGCATGAAGGAGCCATCAGCAGGCCAAAGGCTGCTGTCAAACCTATGCCTACAGGAAAGCCTTCCTCCCCGTCAGGAGCACAGCCGTATGCAGCCGAGAGACCCTGCACACCTCTCTGCCTCTCAGTCAGATTTTTTGTGGTTTCAGGCACTTTCTGGTGTCAAGGTTATGAGGCAGGTTCCTGGTAAGCACTGAATGCTAAGTTTCTAGTGGGTCCCTGGCTGTCATTGTTAAAATGCACAAAGTAAAACATACATAAAATATAGACCGGCAGAATTTTTTTAATTATTAAAAGAAATGAAAAATAGAAAAATCATATGTAAAACAAAACTGTAACAATATGTATTTTAAAACTACGAAAAGTTAAAACACAAATTCACCTCTTACCGTATACAATGTATTTCAGTTGAAGATTTTTAATGGCTTCCTCCACGTTAGGCTTATACTCGAGGAAACAAGTATAAATCCCACTCATTGTCTCCTCGAAGTTCTGGAAAACAAGGCTTCCTGTCGAGGTCACTTGTGCGGTGCTATTTTCTAGTAGGGGAGCAATAGACTTGCTTCAGCTATGTGGGACAGACAAAATGCCAAAGCCTTCTTCAGGCACAGAAACCATTAACATTTACCTCCACGGTCCAAGAGGAGCCCAGGACATAGCGGGCCCTGGTACCTGGTGTTTGCTGACAATGGACCAGGACAACTTCACAGTGTCAGATTTCACCACCCTTGAGCCACTGACAGCATGGCCAAGTGCCAAGAGACTGATGCTGACATGCCACGCATATCCTTAACCTGCCCTTTGCACCGAACAGGCACTATTAAAAGTATGCATACATCCATATGGACAATTATATACACATCTTACAGCTGTGGCATGCATAGGACATATATGTGAATTATATATTTTATACACTATATGTTCCTGTAGCATATAGGAACACACGTAATATATATAGTGTGTGTGTGTATGTATATATATATATATATATATATACATATAAAATACACATAAATATGTACTATATTTTAATGATGAGTTACAGTTTCAGTAAGCTTAGGAAATAGAGAAAAGAGTGTTATCTAGAACACAGGCTATAGAAACAAAATCATCAACAGCTAGAGATTTCAAGCAGCCATACAAGACATAGGTAAAAGTTGGACTATAACCTTGAGAATTACAAAAAAAAAAAAAAAAAAAAACACAGCAGCCCATCTGCCTGCCCGAGTCACACGGTGTGGGGCCGTGCCACACTGGGAGTTAGGATGGACCACAAGCCCCCTTTTTAATTCAGCAGGCCTTAAATGTCACACAGGAAAAAGCCACGCTGGAAGATGGGCAGTAGGTTTGTCCTCGAGGCCTGCAGACCGGGGCTGAGGGACTGCCTTTCTCCTCATGCACTGTGGAATCCCAGGTAACCACTTTATCTCTGTAAAGTCCAGCTCCCGCCATACACAGAATATGATGGCCTATCTCATAGGATCATTCTGTATAACAAACACAGTACTTAATAGAGCATTTGAAATTACTGTAAGTCACTAAGCAAATAAGCTGTAATTCTGAAAGTTTATAACTACACTTTTGTATCAGAAAAATCCTCAGATATTAAATTTCTTAGTCAATAATGTACTATTCCATTCATCAGAATTGAAGATACATTTCTAATTTAAGTAATGATTTAATGTTTACAAATAAGTCAAAATGTTTCCTCAAACTAAGATGACAGACAAGTATGTTTAGTGCTGAAATTTTTCTTATTGAGTTTTTAACAAATGTTTATTTAATTTCTAGTACATGCAAAGCCCAGCTCAGATATTGAAGGAGAAATGAACAGACAAACACAGTACCACCAGGGAATTTGCACAGAGCGTTGTGCTCTGAGAACTCCCATTTCTGCATCCTGGATGAAAATGAAACACATGATAGGAATCTGGGAAGCATTTTCTGGTAATACCTATTTCTCCATGAATATCTTTGATAAAAGACTATGTTTATTTTACCCATGCTGATTCTTCCCTAAAATGCATTAGTAGTTTGCAAATGTTTGCCATATATTTTAGCAGAAATAAAACAGGTCCATAAACGTTGGAGAAATTTGAGAGTACCACATTATCAAATATGCTATGTATTCACTGCAGTCATTTGAAAGTTTTCACACCAGAAGTTTCAATAAACATGTAAAATACATATTTAAAAGTCTACGAAATGTTAAGTGTTTTGAGAGCCAGAAAATTGGGCAGCAAGCACATAATAAAATTCTCTCTGGATATATTCAGGCTTTAAAATATTGAAGAGTACACTTTGAAAAGATAGCCAGAGGGCTCCATATCAAATATAAAAACTCATTGTGTAATATCTTGTATCAGTGGTCATTTCATAGATCCTTAAGTGACTAAGTCTAAAAGGAAATCACCAAGCCCTAGCTTGGCTATGTTCCTGGTATGAATATATAAGACAGTGTAAGAAATCATGCATTCACAGATACTTAATAAACACCTGCTTCATTAAAGTTGGCAGGTACTAACTTCCTAACTTGGTTATCTAAGAGTTCACAGACTCAGACAGGTATTATAGGAGCATGTAATTTAGAAATCTAAAATTATATGACAGAAATTAAGCACAATTTAATTACAGCCTATTATTTTCAAAAACAGATTTATGCTACTTTTGGTTTCTTCTCAGATATAAAAAGTACATATGAAACATCAATACCCTGGTGGTACATCATTACAAAAAGGAAAAACCTAAATTAAAAACCCTGTAACCAACGTTTCTTGGACCCATTATGGAATCAAGGGGGCAGAGCAAATCCGAGGGCAGACAGCCAGCAGAAAGTGCCAAGACCCGATGAGCGCTTTAGCTGTCAGTGCAGCAGGTCAGAAGGGTCAGTGAGCGTCTCGTTGAACTGGTAAGCCAAGTAAAGACCTAGGCGAGGAGGCCATCCCTCCAAAGGACAGACCAGTAGAGATCATCACTCTCTGACAGGCTTCTCGTTCACAAGCACCTGCCCATGCTCACATGGAAGAGCTGGGTGCCTGGGGCCAGCACCCCACAGAGTGATATACTGAAAACTGACGTGCAATCATGAGGTCAGAGTATCAGAATTCCCTGGAAAACAGATAGATGGACAGATGAGATAGAAAGATAGATGATAGGCAGGTAGGCAGGCAGGCAGGCAGAGAGACAGTGTTAATGTGATATCCTTATCTGGAAACAGCTACATTACTGAGTATCTATTTTTCCATTATGAAAGTGTTCTAGTTGAAGCATAAAGTGACTTATATGCTATATTTTGCAATATAAACTGTAAGACCTAGCATGCTGCCTTAAAGGAATTTCAATTTCCAAATCAAAGAAACAACAAAGAGAAAAAGTCAGTGCATAAGTGTTTCTATTTTTCATCTTACAAAGTTTCACTACCAAATGTAGACTATATTTAAGATACATTTGTATTGTAGGATGTTGCTCTACCATAAAACAGTAAAAATAAAATTTGATTTTATTTCTAGCATTGAGTCCTTTTACATCAGACCATTTCATTGACGCCCATGAAGTGTCAAACCTTGCAGGATTTCTTTCACGAACCCTCCTGCTCCATGAACAGCTGGCATGATGGTTCCTACCGTGTTACTGCATTGAGGCGAGGTTGTGTCCGACTGCAAATCCTACCATGGCATCTACCAAGCTGACTCGCTTTGAAAGAAAAACTCTGTGGTTAAAGCGTAGGTTAACTCTGTAAAGTCTGAGGTACTTAGATCGGCAAAAAAAGTCTTTACCACTCAATTACATAAAATATGAATTAAAAATGTCACAAAATAAATATTTCCTATGAATGTTTCTTCAGCAAGCCATTAGACAAACATGGCCTCTCCTTCATTCAAGACAATTTAGTAAGCCATCAGGTTTTAACCCAAGGAACCGTTCAAAAGACGAATATGGATTAAAAAGTAAAACAGCAGCAAAGAGGAAAACATGGTAAGGAAAAGCTTCCTCTGTGGAGTGCGAAAATGAGTCAGTGCTTCACTGCAGTCTTCAGGATGAAAACTCATTACTCTCTACTTTAGGAAGGATAAAGCCCAGCCAAGGGAATCTGCACTTTATGAAGTACACTGCAAAAATGAATTACCATTTAATCAAATTTAAAATTTACAATAGAAATAAGCTATATATTTTAAAACAAGAGAGTGAAAAGAGAAAATACCAATCAAGTCAGTTATACAGACACTAATTTTTCCTGAATGGTAACTGCTTCTGGACTAGAGATGTTTAGAGACATCTCCATACAGTTCCGTCTTCTAGTATGTTTTTATATTCAATAAAGATAAATGCAAAATATAACATGATTTATACTAGTATAAACAACGCCTACAGAAAATTACAAAGAATTGAGAAATAGATAAATTATGGGATACAAATATTTTCCTCACTGAGTATAATTAAGACAGACCTATTTCCATATAACTGAAATAAAATCCTACCTGAAATAATTTTTCCTTTTGGTCCATGCCATTGGAATGCTGGGTCTATCAGTTCAGCATTTCGAAGTTGCTGGTCGACACACAGCACGTGTGGACTCCGCTGATGGAGCATGACATAGACACTCACTGAAAACGCAATATAAAGATGTCCCAATAACATTTTATGCTTCGTCTTCCTCCTATTATAATTGTACAGTCTGGTTTACAGGGTCTTACATAATTTCTTTGAATCAATATTTAATTAACCCATTAAGATCTAAATTGCATTTCACCTAGGTAACTAGCCTTAAAAACATGCCCCGTGTTTTATTCACCTGTGAGTTTATGTGCATGTGTGCATGTGTGTGTGAGTGTGAATGTGTGCATGGTCAACTTGAACAAAATGTGTTGGTTCTTTTTATTCAGGACTCCAGCGTATTCTCAGAGTATAATTTCAGTGACAGAGTACCAAGGTAATATTAAGATAATTCTATATCTATACTGCATCTGTTTTGCCAACATTTTTATTATAGACAAAGCTTAGTATAAGTCATATAGATTAGAAAATAACATATGATTCACAAGAATATAGCACAATGTTCTGAATTAAAATAAGGGCTTAAAAAGTCAACATATTGCTTTGATTTTAAACAGTAAGCATTCTGACCCACTTTAAAATGTAAAGAATCATGATGAGCAGGAATAATATTATTTAGGAAGTCAAAAGGAATACAGTAAAAATTAAATTGTTTCAAGCTTACCCATCAGTAAGTTTTTAGAAAAGTCTCTAATAACCTTTCAGAGACTGCATGCCAACTGTTCAGTGACTTGCCAAATGGAAAGATTTTTGTGATCCAATAAAATAAAAATTGTTTTTCAGAATCACAATTGTCCTTACCTTTAAAGAGACTGCCTCTAAAGTTTTTTAAATTGTGATATGCACAATGATCATGTTCATTATAGGAAATTTGTACCTATATGCAATGTATTTTTATTCTTTTTAAACACCTAAAGTTTCACCACAACACAAATGTTTACTGAACACACAAACACACATGTTCTCACACATAGCCCCCACACACCCTTTTCCACAGGCTTTGAAAGTCTCTCTATTCTTCATTTGTTATAAATTGACATTGAACCTTAACAAATTTTATCTAATTGCAGTGATTTTAATGAATATTTAATTGAATCCTTGACATCAACAGGTTGATTTCCTAGAGTAAATCAAATTGCTAATGCTATTTAGCTAATCATCTTTGGATCCTTCCTCCAAACCCTCAAAAGAGCCAGTGCTGCCAATATCTTCACTGTGGGCTTCTAGCCAGTAAAACTATGGGAAGGTTCTGACACATTGCTGTTATTTAAGTCATTCAGTCTATGGTTTGTTTTGTTTTGGCTTGGTTTGTTTTGTTTTGAGACAGGGTCTCACTGTGTAGTTGAGGCTGGGCTTGAACTTAATATGAAGCACAGGCTGGCCTCAAACTTGTGACGACCCCACTGCCTCAGCCTTCCAAGTGCTAGGTAACATCCTGGCTTTCATGCCTTTTATAGCAGCAATAAAGGACTACTTCATAATAACAGAAACCTAGCAGCATGTACTGTGCACAATTCCCATCACCAGCCATCACTACAACCTCAGTTTTGCAATAGCCCTGAAGACGACCCTGACATTAAAGTGGGAACCAGCAGTGTGGCAGCCACCGGAAGGGCAGTCATGGTGGCAGTGACTTCAAAACTCCTCCCCACAAACTGAATTTATTATACCTTCCCAGTAAGTATCAGGGATTATGGTTGTTTTTGTTTTTGTTTTTGTTTTTTGAAACAAGATCTCGCTGTGTAGTTCAGGCCGGTCTTAAATTCAAAATGTAGTCCAGGTTGGCCTTGAATTCATGGCAATCCTTTTACCTCAACCTCCTGAGTGCCTCCTTATAGGCATGCACCACTGTGCCTGATAGGAATGTTTTTGAAAGATCCCACTTGCAAGGTTGTTTTACCCTTACTCTATGAGCTCCTGTTACAGTGGGTAATAGGTACAGAAAACAGTAAGTTAACCAAAACCCCCAAGAGAAAAAATGCTAACGCATGACACAGCCACAAAGACTTTGAAGTTCTGACACAATCTCTGGAAAATAGGCAGCCGCCACCAAGCACAGAATCATATAAGTGGCCAGCACAGAATGCGCACTCCAGACATGCCAGGAGGCCTTAGGTCCTCGTACTTTCCTGACACAAGTTCTGCAGAACATAACTTCAGTGGTGAGACAGAGTCCCCAGCTGCCTGGGTAAGATGAAGGTGCACCCCAGCAAGCACAGAGCTGCTCAGCGAAGTACCATGGATTAAATGGTGCCTGGCGTTTAACGAAACTTCTGCTTATGTGTTAGGCTAATGAAACTGCACAGTGACTTCAGTGGCTACACTTGACACACACGGCATAATTTACCAAACTAGTTCATAGAAGTCTCAAACAAATAAAATCGGCATCTTATTCTGAAAATGAAGAATTATATTTACAGAATTAATATACATTATTTAACATTTCAGGTTTTCAAATTAAAAATACAATATGCAAAAAGAAACATAGTCATATGCATTTTAAAAAGAGCTGTGAATTGAAATATATCCCAAGAAAGATCAAATTCTGTGCTTACGGATAAACACACTGAATTGGCTATTATAAATATGAGCCGAGGAGGCAAAGTACTTAAGAGCAGAAGGCATCTCTTCAAAGAGAATATCAAGTAGAGCTAAAACTGTAAAAATGAACCCAGGAAGCTATACAAAAATATAATAGCTGAAATGAAAAATTCAGTAGAAAGAATCAATGCCATGGTAGAAGAAATCACTGAATTTAAAGATAAGTCATCTTGGGATTACCTTGTCTGAAAAACAGGAAGAAATGACTACAGATAAATGAACAGACTGCAGAAACCCGAGGCAAATAAACGTATACAGGCACATGTACAAAGACAGTCCCAGTAACAGCAGAGAGGGACACAGAACATTTGAAGAAATCATGAGAAAAACTTCTCAAGCTGGATTAAAAAAGAAACTAGAAATCCAAGCTCAATAAACACTACATAGAATAAAGATTGAAGAGATTCACAGCTAGATGTCAACAAAGACTGTTTATAGGTATCAATCTGTAAACAAAAAAAGCACCATAAAACTAACAGAGAGCAGCAAACTAATCACAGACACAAGACACGCAATTGACAGTTTATTTCTCATTAAAGCCACAATAAATTGAAAATTCTGAAAATATCTAAAATAAATAGCATTTAAAACTTCCATAAAGAAAAATGCAGCATCAGATGGATTCACTGAAAGTCTTCCAAGAGTCTTTCATAAACTCTTTGAAAAAGTAGAAGAGAAGGGCATTCCAACATTTTCTGTGAAACCAGTATTGCCTAAAACCAAAATCAAAGAAATCGAAAGAAAACTATAGACTTCCTTGCATGAATAGACATAAAAATTCTCCAAACAATAGCAACAAAATCCAGTACCATCAAAAGGCATTTCACATCATAGCTAACTGAGATTCATCCCAAATGCAAGGGTAGATTCAAATACAAAAATAACTCAAATAAAAGATAATAATATATCATCTCCATAGATGCAGAAAAAGCTTGTGATAAAATTCAACTTCCTTTCACAATAAAATCATTGAGCAAACTAGGAACAGACTGGAACTCTCTCAAACAGATTGAGGGTACTTTATTATCTATCAAAACTCAAAACTATTAACATACTTACTGGTAAAAACCTAAACCTTTCCCTTCCCCAAGATCAAAAGCAAGACAAAGATATCTGATTTTATGAGTACTGAACTGGAAGTTGTAGCTGAGGCACTTGGCAAGCAAAAAAAAAAAAAAAATACTGAACAGAAGAAATATAACCATCTTTATCTGCAGGTACTATGGTCATGTATACTGAAAACCCTAAAACATCTCTCTCAAAATAGAAGTAATAGATGAATTCAGGAAAGTGGAAGATTGTTATGACATCAATACAAGAACACCAACTGTATGTCTGTAAACTGGCAATGAACAATCCTAAAAGTAAGTAAAATCATTCTATTTACAAAAGGATCAAAAATAGAATATTTAAAATTAAATTGAACCAAAGAAATATACAACTTGTACACTGTAAAGTAAAAAAATCATCAGGAAGGGAAATTAAAGTAGATTTAAATAAATGGAAAAGCATTTCACATTCATGGATTTGAAGACTTAAGATTGTTAAAGTTGGGGCTGGGGATTTAGCTCAATGGCATAAGCACCTGCCTTGCTAGCCTGTGGTCCTGAGTTCGATCCCTGGTACTGGTAAAAATACAAAAAAAAAAATTTATAAAAAAAGATTGTTAAAGTATCAAAAATTAAACAAAAAATTCAAAGCTTGATAAATCCCAATATATATTTTTGCAGAAACTGGTAGTTTGGTCATATAATGAATATCATATTATAATGGACAAAAAGTAGCCAGAAGAATCTTGAAATAATCAAATTTGAAATATTTACACTTAATGATTTCAAAACTTATTGTAAAGCAACAAAATCCAAAAGTGCTAGGATCAGGACAGGCATATTACAGATGAACAAAATAAAATGTAAAACCTGTAATAAACCTATACAACTATAGCTATTTTAATAAGTTGACAAGACAATGTAACAAACATAAAATACTCTCTTAAAGATGTAATGCTAGAACAACTAGATAACCACATGCTAAAAACTGAGTTTGATCTCTATCTTACATCGTAATAAAAATTATCAAAATGAATCAAAACATCTACATGAAATATCAAAAACACAATTATCAGAAAACAAAAGAATAAAACCTTGTGACTACTTATTAGGAAATAATTTCTTTGATGGAAGCATTAGAAAAAAACAGAAATTAGGCTTTATGAAGGTTCAAAATGCATTTTGCAAAAGCTAGATTAAAAAGTCAAAAATAATAATCCAAGAATGGGAAAAAAACTGACAACTGTTTATGTAATAAAAGTCTACTAACCAGAATATATACAGAACTGTACAACTCAGCAGGAACAACACCCAATGAAGAAACAGGCATCTCCCCAAATAAACTACTCATACAGCCAAGATACACATGAAGAGTTATTAGAAAAACACCCTCAAACCAATTAAATACCACTTCACACACATCGTAACTTAAAAAGCAGATGAAAATAACAAGAGGCGATGCAGAGGTAGGGACACCTGAACCCCTACATATTGCTGATGTGAAAGCAAGTTAGTGTAACCACTTTGAAGAGTGGCTTGGCTGTTCCTCAAAATATTAAATGTACAATTAACACATTACCCAGTAATTCTCCTCTGTAAACAAGAGAAGCGAAAACACACATTCACATACAACAGAAGATACTCAGCCATAAAGAGGAATAATTTCTTATATCACCTATGGCATGGACGAAGCTCAAAAACATTACACTCTGTGAAATGACGCAGATTCACAAGGCCACACAGTAGACAATTTCACTTATACACCAAACAGGTAAATAGTAACAAAAAGGCAAGAGATTAGGAGCTTCCACAGACTGCAGAAGGACTGATAAATGAGTACAGTGTGTCTTTTGATGGTGATGAAAATATGAAACCATAGTGACAGCTGTTCAAACTTGTCAATGCACAAAACAACAGCTTAATTATATACATTAAAGGAGAAATATTTTGGCAAATGAATATCGCAATACATGTAAACAATACTTCACTTGCATCTCATATAACTATTATAAATTTTATAAATCCGAAAGCTTTATAATACGTATATCTTATTTGAAAAAACATTTTAGCATAATTAAGCTGCCCATATTACCATATTAATGGTAACTAGTATTATAATAAGCAAATATAGGTACCTTTTAGATAACTTTTAGAAATACTTATTTTCACACATGTAACTAGTTATAGCATACAGAATTAGACCTTAGTGAATCTAAATATATAAACATTTTATTTCACTTCTGCAGAAGGAAAAGGACCTTATGGGACTAGAAAAACTGAGGGACATTAACCATTTTGGATAAGACTATTAAAAGTTCAATGAATGCTAGTAACATTTTTTTAAATTACTGAAAATCTATTTATGAGTACCTGGAAAATGTGCTGATCCCACTATTTTCACCGGATCCTGAGAAATGCGAAAACCTCTTGGCAATCGAATCAAATATTCATCTGTGTAAAATAAATGATTAACACTTTGCCTCACTATATACTTCAACATATTAAAAATACTATTGTATCATAATACATTTTATCTTCCCTCAAGGGGAAAAACCATAATCCAAATTCCTCTGACGTCTGATTTCAGGTTTCCAAATGTACTTCCCTTCATACAGCCTAATGAATCTTATCTACCCATTGTTTCTTTCTATTATTAACATCTCACCTGAGGCTTTTTCGATAGCACCACAGAACACACTTTTAAATCCAAGACTGAAACCACAAATGCTCCCCCTTCAAACCTCCTGTTTGCCACTTTTCACCCCATATGGTACATCACCAGTAGTTCTCTTACAACACTTATTATACTTTGCATATAGTTATTTATGCACGTATGTAATTTCCTCACAAGATTCTAAATTCTACTGATGGAAGCAGTGTTTGTAAATGTACATGCAACAACATCCAACAGTGTATCTTGTGCCTAGCAACTATTATATAATAATTGTGAGATACATCCTGATAGTCTTCATAGTTGAATAAGCAGATACAGTAGGCATGATATATGAACAGCAAATGAGAAAAGAGGCTGTATAAAAATGCAATACTGTAAGCATTATACCTAAATAATCTTTACAGCACAAAAGTAAAGTACAATGGAAAGGGTCTGAAGCCAGACAGCCTGAATTTAATCCAAGTTCTGCCTTAAGTTGGTTTTAGGAAAATCACTTTAAACTGCAGAATCTGTTATTTCCTTATTTGCAAAATTGGACTTACAGAATCACTGTAGGAACTGAGTGTAATACTGTGTAGGCTGCAACGTGCCATGTAAGTATCTGGCCTTTACTATTCGTAGTTTCCATGTTAACCCATTGGCTGCTTGCCTACTTCTCATAACTCTTGTCAATGGATCAACAGAAAGCAAACTAAGCTTTCAAAACAGAAACATACTCCATCATTCCTAAGTACAAGGCCATGAACCGTATTTCAAAGCATCTTTCTCTAACAGGACAACTAAAGGCCCGTAACCATAACTTTTGCATTTCTTTCTCAACCCGTGGTTACTGCCACATTCCTTTTACATTTATATTCTTAGAGGAGTTATGAAGCAGAAAAACAACTTTCTAGTGAGACAACAGTTGGCCTGAACTTTTCCTTCTTTCTTCAGACATTTTTCATGTCATAAATAATTCAGATGTCAAAATTAAAACTCCAAATGAATCCTGCATTTTACGTCGACAACCAATAGAGGGAGCTCCACTACCGCCGATACTTTAATGCACTCGGAAGTCTATTCCTTGGGAAATACTCAATACATCCACGTAGAATCCACTGCAATACCAACATAGCCAACGGCCCATGAACTTCCTTAAGGAATTTAGAAAGCACATTAAATTTAAAGCTCCATCGGGGTCGTTCGCGCGATCTGTGCCAGGTGTACATCCCTAGCTTTGCAGGCTTGCTTGCTGGGTAGCAGAGGACGCAACGCTCCCTTGCAGGAACCAAGGGGCCCTGACACCGGAAATAGTTGTCAGGCGGCAGCCGCGGCCGCAGCGCGGCTCCGCCCCTCACCTGAGGAGGGCACGGGCACCAAGAAGGCGGAGAAGAGGAGGATGGTGGCCCGGGAGAGCGGCCAGCCCGCGGCCCGGGCCCGCCGCCAGCCCCGCCACGCCCGGCGGGGGGCCGAGGCTCCCATGCCACGCCGCAGCCGCCTGCCGACCCTCAGAAAGGAAGGTCGTTACGGGGCGCGCGCCCACCCAACGCCGGAAGTTACAGGGCGGCCGGCCGGAAGAGGGGACCGGAAACGCGCCAGCGTTTCCGCCGGAAGCGCCTGCACTTCCGCAGGAAACTAGGCCGGAAGGGCGCTGGCGTGTGCGCCTGAAGCCCAAAGGCGGGGAAGTGCGGGCGGTCCTATCTAACGCTGCACGGTCGGTGGGACTTGGACCAGCCACGTTGCTCCTAAGGGAATACGGCACAGTACAAATGACCAGGGTAGAGACTGCAACCAGAAGGGGAAACCAGGACCCCAAGACGGTGTCTTTAACTTTGAGAGACATTTGCGGACTGAACGAAGATTTTTTTCTTATTTTCTATCAGAACCAAGCCCATTGATTGATTGAATTGTGATATAAACTTTTGCTAAATCACCTAGGTTGTGGGGCTGTAGTTGAACTTACTATACTCCTGCCTCAGCCTCCCAGAGTGTTTGAGTACAAGCATGTACCACCATGTCCAGTCTGGGAAGACCCTTTTTATATAAACTGATTGCATACTTGCAGGCTTTGGGATCCAATTCCAAGCAACAAATAGAATTTGTGAGTCATACACAGCACTCAGAGTTTGTCTGGGTCTGGTAATATCAGTAGAGTGTGGTGCTTGCTGGAAGACAATGGTAGTGCACACCTTTTGGCAATTAAAGGTAGTGCTTTTAGTCCCACCCAACAGAAACTTAATGGAAGAATGGAGAATAGGACCACAGAAAGAACTGATTTCATGCAGTGCCCATTCTGGAAAACCATCTTTCACCACCTAAATTCAGAAGAAAGAAAAATACAAAAGCCCCTATCAACCGAAGAGGCATTTCTAGGGAAAAAGTGAAGATCTAGAAATAGTGGAAAGAGTAATACCTGTCTCCTTCCCTGTCTCTGCAAGGGATTGCTTTATATTTAGGATAGACAAAAATCATATACACTGGGTATATGAAAATCAAACATGGCAGTTTGAGCAAGTAAAGACTATGCCTACCAAGAAATCTGTGATCACCTTCTATGTGAAATGAGTGATTCTGAGTAGACTTAGACATTCACTGGTTATGTTATGCATATTATGGATATACTGTGTCATCAAGGATTTCAAACACGCATCTAAACTGTCTAACACACCCTCCCTTAGTACATCTCATCATTAGTACATCTCATCAGTTATTAATACATCTCATTATCAATGATTTTAGGTGGGACATAGTCATTTTATTTTACCCATCTTAAATTTTTGCTGTCTTACAGTGGGCTTGACTTACATGTATCTGGCCCTTCTAGAGTTTTGCATGATTTATACAGTTGCTTCATTAAGCATGTGAGTTTTTATCCCTGTGTTCTAATGTTTGGAATTTTTTGTAGCCATTTTTAGGCAAGATAAAATTATTTGAAAATAAGTTTGAACTGCTATGTCAGTCATTTAGATGAGATCTTTTAATATGGGCTAGCAACTGATAATCTTCGCAGTTGCCTAAAATAATTTTAAAATGCTAATTGCTCATTCTGGACATCATAATAGTATTAAAATATGAATGATTTAGAATGTGCAAATTAACTTTGCCTTTTATCATAATTTCTGAGTTGCTAACAATTAGACAGATCAACTTAATTTTAGTATAATGCATGTTTATTTTTGCAGTGTGCTTAAGCTTAAAATTTAGATAAATGTTTCAGCTAAATACTTCATTGTAATCACATATCTGTTGTTTAAAAATATATTGTCACTAGGTAACTGCTCCTTGATTGAGTACCATTCTACCCATAAGATATCTACTATCCTATTTCAAATAAATAGCATAGTTTTATTGAGTATAGGAGATAAAAATATATTGGAATTGTTCCTGCAAAGATTGGTTTTTGTTTTTCCTTAGAGTTGCATTATGATGTACATGTTGAGTTTTGTGCATTAGAGTTCTAGCTGTTGCCAAGCAACAAGAGTTCTGGTTTTCTTTTTCTGTTCTGTTGCTGCTCTTATCTTTCCTTTGGTGGTTCAAAAAAAAACTTTTTATCTTAAAAAATACTACTTTACCAATATTTTAGAAAGCTGAATCAATAATTTAATGCTACATTAGCTTTGGTCTTCAATTGTTAGAAATACAGGAGTTTGTATAGTGATAGTTAAAGAGCAAACAAGTATCAGAGCAACATAATTTACCGACCTCGAAAATTACAAAGAGAAAGGCCATGGACATGGAAATGCAGTACAAATCTGGAAAGATAAGTATACCTGAGAGGTTCATCTTTTCAGGAAAGAAGACGGTTGAGAACAGGGATTACCCACGCTACTGTGATCTCTTAAGAAAAATGAACATGCCTTTTGTGAAAGGGGTTGAGGACAGACATGACTTTGGCAGATTTGAGAAGAAAGGCAACCCTGCTTTTCTTAAGTTTCATCCTTATCCCCCGTCGGTACTGCCAGACTATCACTTGCATCACCCTTATCCACCTCCGTTTGGCCCAAATTACGCATTATCTCCACTTCGGGATGATACACCCTTGGGGGACCCTTGTTCAAGCCTCATGAGTCCTGGTGGTGATGCGGACTTAAAACCTGGCATTGGCAGAGCTATACCCAACCTGGGGAGTTTCAATGATGTGAAACCTCAACACAGAGTTCCTAGACCAGACACAGGCTTTCAATCAACAATCAAAAGGCAAACAATACTGTTACAAGAGCTGCAACAGGACAGAAGATGGAATTCCAGGAAAGTACTTGACATTTCCATCAGAGCAAGACTTGGAGGTAAATAAGGAAGTGTGGCCCTTATGTGTCTTAAATACTCCAATGAGGGAGGAGGGCATGGCTATCAAAATTAGAGGTTTTTTTTGGTCTAGGCATGCTGGCACATGCCTATAATCCCAGCACTTAGGAGGCTGAGACAGGAGGATCATGGTGAGTTCGAGGCCAATCTGTGCTCCTTAATGGCCAGCCTGATCTCTATAGCAAGATCCCATCTCAAAAAAAAATTAGATTTTTTGCAGTAAAATTAGCATAAAATAAGGTATTATTTTTATATTACACATTTTAAGAAAATCATAGAATGATATGGTACATAAGTCTACTGTAAAGCAAAATTTAGCTTAAATAAAAGATGATTTTTAGGTTAAGTGACCATAACATAAATAACATTATTGTAGACCTGCAGACTTATTTCACTACAAGAGGATTTATGTATCACCTTGACAACTGTAGCACATTTCTTTTTCGGTATCTCTCCCTTGGAAACAAAATCTTCTGGTGGTTATGAGGTTGCAGGTGCTAAAATGAATTCAGAAAAGAGGTGAAAGTAATTGTGGAGGTCCACTAATAACAGGAGTTGAAGAGAAGCAAGCCCTGCGCAAACGTACCACAGTCCTAGCCTCAGGGGTGATGATCCTTTGTGGCATCTGCAGAACCTTAACTGACTGTGAACTCTCTCCTGTTCAGCCGTGTGCCTGGGCCCGAGTGTTGAGACATCCTCCAGAGGGAAACCACAGAGACAGTTTCCCCTGTAAAATTGTGTTTGACAGGCAGGGAGTGAGAACAGATTACATCTGAGTCTGTGCAAAGGAAAAGACCAAGTGACACGGCCGAAGGTGCCTGGTTGGCTGTCATATGAGAGAGGGCACTGCCGTCCCCAACTCCACTTCAGTGCCCAATCATAGATAAGACAATGCAGGTGAAAACATGCGATTTGAAGCACACGGGACCATGGCATTTTATATTCCCAGCAAACCTAATGATGTTACCTCCTTGCATTCCCTGGCCATGGTTTACTACCCCTTCACTGTGCTATTAAACACTTTTATAGTATTTTGTTCAAGACTCTTGCATGAGTATTCATAAGGAATGTTTGGAATATTTTTTGTTGTTTATTTTTCTGATTTCAGTATTAGGGTAATGCTGGTCTCACAGAATGAGTTTGAAGCATCCACTTCAATTTGCTTTGAAACAGTGTGAGGAATATTGGTGTTCAAATCTCTAAGTTTTGGTAGAACTCTCCAGTGAAACTGTCTGCTCGTTGACTTTTATTTGTTGAGATTTTTGGGGTTTCATGATCTTTATTATGGATTCACTCTCCTTACGTAGTTATGGGTTAGTTCATAGTTTCTGTTTCTTAATGAGTCAGTTTTGATAACTGTGTTTGTAGTAATTGGTCCATTTCACCTAGTGTACCCAATTTGGTGATGCACAGTTACTCAGAGTACTCTGTTTAATCCCTTTTTGTTTCTGCAAAGTCAGTTGTAATGATTTCTTTTTCATTTCTGGTTTTAGTTATTCTATTTCTTTTATCAGTCTGTCCAGATACTCATCATTTTTGATGATGTTTTCAAAGAACCAGCCCTTGGACTTACTGACCTATCTCCACTATCTTTCCAAGTTTTATTTTTGTTTATATAATACCAAGTCTTTGTTTCCTTCCTTATTCTAACTTTTGCATTATTTTCTTCTTTTTCTTGTTCCTTGAGGTATAAGTTTCAGTTTATTTAGGATCTTCTGTTCCAATGCCAGTAATCCCTATTATGAACCTGCCTCTCAGTTCAGTTTTTTGCTACATCCTGTAAGTTTTGGAACATTTTGTGTTCATTTTATTTCCAATTATTTTCTGGTTTTTTGACACAAAAATCTTTAGTACTAATTTCTACGTATTTGTATGTTTTTCCATTTTTCCTCCTACCATTGATTTCCAGCTTTATTCCACTGTGATCACAAAAGATTCTTGGCATGATTTTGGTTTTAAAATTAAGACTTGTTTTGTGACTTAACATGTGATTTATCCTGGAGAATGAGCTGTTTGTCCTTGGTAAGATTTTACATCAAACTGCTGTTGGGTAGAATGTTCTATGTATGTTTATTAGATCCACTTGGTCTGTGTGTTATGTAACTGCTGTATTTCCTTGTTGTTCTTCTGTCTGAATTATGTGTCTATTATTGAAAATAGTGCACTGAGACCTCCTTCTATTCTTGTGTTCCTGTCTCTTTCTCCCTTCAGTTCTGATTCTCCTGACCTTAGTGAGCCCCTTAGTGGCAATTATTTTGAATTATCTGTCAGGGAAATCATGGCTCCATCTTTTAGAAAAGTGTTCTAAGAATTTATCTTCCTCCCTTTTGTGAAACATTTTTGCCTGAGTTTTCATTTTCTTTCACCCTCTTTGTAGATGTTTGTGAATTAGACAAAGCCCACAAGTCTTCTAGTCTCCGTGAACTGGCATGGTAAATAAGAAGACTTCTCCTTTTCAGCCTGGCCAGAGATTCTACCAGTTCTTTCCATTTCTTTGAATTCATTTTGCTTTTCCCTTGTGCAGGGTGTGAGCTATGGTTTCTACCAGTCCAAAATGCCATCTTTTTTATCTCCTGTGAAGTACACTGTGCCAAACCAACAGAGCTCTAGGACTGGTAAGACAGGTGCCATGGTTTTGCACAGCACCAAAAAGATGAGGCACAGGTCACAGGGATGAATCAACTCCATCTCTTCCCTGGAAGGAGCTCAGAGCTGAGATTTCTCGCTTGCTCAGTCTGTACTAAATAGAGGATCTATGTCATCTAGCAAGCCAAACTTACACCCATTCTTCTCTTGGGTTTATCTATAGGGCTCCAAGCTTGTTTCAACAGAAGCAATGGTTAAAACATGGGGCCTCTTTCCTAAAGTGTGAATGCTGCACATGTGAATCAATCTGTGTCTCTCCTTGGAAGTTAGAGCTGCCTTCCTGAATTGTGTACACTGTGCCTGAAACATAAATAAGTCATTGTTCTAAGACGCTGAGTTCTATCCTGAGGTTTGGGATTTTTTTTTTTTTTTTGTAGCAGATACTGAAACTGGTTGGGGGCAAGAATGTCATACTTTGATCTAAATGTGATTATTCTGATGGCACAACTGTAGTCCCTCATTCTCTTTCTATTTTCCTCCTCTAACTAAAAATTAAAGTTGACTTTCAAAGCAATTAATTGAATGGCTGCAAATAAGATGGATACCACAAAGTCTTGTCCTGTGGTTTTGTAGGATAGATTTGTAAAGGATTTTCTTTTCTATAATGTGTCACAAATAGCAATTACCCATATGATTTTCAAAACCTAGATTACATGGGATTCAATTCTACTTTTCTCCCTTTGCCTCTTACTTCTAAATCTGTATCACTTTTTCTGGCTACTACCACAAATTGCCACAAACTTAACAACTCAAAAACATCGATTAGTTCCCAGTCCGGAGGAGGAAGTGAGAAATGTGGGGAACCTCACCTGTGTCTATTTATGATCTAATGACAACAAATTCTGAGCATTGGCTCTTACCTAGAGTCCCTGAAGAAAAATGTGCTCCTAGGTCATTCAGGTTTTCATAGAACTCAGCTCCTTGTGCCGGAGGTACCCATCTCTTTGTCCCAGGAGCCAGGGAATGAGCTCTGTACTCAGAGGCTGCCCACTTCCTTCCCATGTGGGCTTCCCCTGGCTTCAATATCAGCAAAGATACACCAAGGCCTTCTGACACTCTAATCCCTCTCCTGGCCTTTGAGCTTGCAGACTAGCCCTCATCCACTTGTGTCCTACTCTTCTGCCAGGTCCCTCTGCAGATCCTATGTCAAGTTTCTGAATCAGACGTTGACTGAGATATTATCTTCTTTACAAAAAGTATATTATTACATTAACACTACCAGTAATACTAGGGGTGAACACTTAAGCTATCTGCATGTCATTCATTTGTAGTCTGAAGTTATGGCTTTCAACTCTACCAGCAGACAATAAATGTGAGGGTAATGAAGCTAAGAAGGACTAAATAACTCACACTGGTCACTGGCATTTAAGCAATAACGTACAGCATCTGCTAGGTAGGATTCACAGGCGAATCCTGAGCACTTACGCTGTCTAAGCATCTCTTCTAATGAATCTTTCCTACGCTTTTAGCCTCACCCCCAAATTTATACTTTTCTAAGTTGATTTCATTCATAGTGCAAATCTATAAAGTTGAGGACAAAAATCAAAAGCCTCTCCTTTCCACATAGGTTTGGCAAGAATATGGAAACGGCTAGAGCTAATCCTACTGTCTTTACGTTTAGGGACACCTGTGTAGACCACACTGATTTCCCAGAATTACCATTGTCGGCTTAGAACCCTCCAAGGGCAGCCCATCCGTGACTTAAATCCAAGGCTCTCCTAGCCTGGCCCTGGGCTCCCTCTCTTTTTCATTCTCCACCACTCTTTGCCTACCGTGCCAAGATCTAGACATAATGAAATTTTATCTTTTCTTAACTCCGTGATAATGTCCCAGCACTACCCCGCTGTCACCCCTGCTGATTGCCTGCCTGGAATGACTGCTCTTGCTCCTCACTTCCTCTTTTTAAATTTATAGCCTGTTCAGTTCTCAAGATGAGATCAGCTGTCACCTTCAGGAAGATGTTCCTCACTCCCAACAGTCTGGTTGGATGAGATATCCCTCTTCTGTACACCCACAGATTTGGGGCTCAACTAATATCGTGATTGCCACATCATCCTGAAAGTTTATTTATAAACCCAAATTTTCCATTTTCTCATGGGCACCTCAAATTCAGAAGCACTATTTTAAAAGTTTTGTACACTCGTCAGGTTCCACTAGTGGCACAGTGAGTACTTGTGGAAGGATAGCTTTATATTCTTAATCAAATGTTGCATGTTACTACAAGGGTTTAGTTAGCTGCATGGAAGCACAGTGGTGTTTCTCATCACATCCTCGGCATGTCTAAATAGACATGCACAGAACATTGTACCCGACAGGTCTCTCCCAGTAATAACTTTAAAACACCAAGTAGTGATCCACTATGATAACTCTATTAACATGTACAATTTCAGTACTATTCTATTTTCACTGCCAAAAAAAAAAATCAGGAAAAATCCCTAACTCATCCACCAAAGACCAACACTGTCTAGTTTAGTTCTCCAGTACAAAACACTTATGATGGAAGAAGAGATTTCTGTGTTTCTACCCGAGGGAATGCACTTCCGTTCGGTTTCCAGGATGGACCAGCCCAGTGAGAGTGACTCCCTCGCAAACCCATCAGGAGCAGAGCTCCATAAGCCGCAGGAATGTGTTGGAAGAGGAGGAAGCACATGTGGTAAGATTTCTCACCTGGGCCTTAAACAGGTCTTACAGTTCTCCTGTGTGCTTGGCTATCTACTGCTATGAGAACAAAATAGCTTCTAGTAACAAGGAACTCGGTGCTTGCCAGGCCCTGTGCTCAGATTTGCATCCCCTGAATCTGTGCCCTCTCCGTGCCACCCCCACAGTACCATCCCAGAGGAGGGAGAGGAGGTGCTGAAGCTGCCCCCTCAGACTCCTCTCAGCAGGGGACAGGGTGGCGCCCTAATATCTGGAGGGCTGTGCCTGCCCCCGACCCTGCTCACCTCACATCTTGGCAAGTGGAATGCTTGGGGGAAGCCTGGCTGGCCTCCTGGCGTCTGCTCCCTTCCCATGGGCTTACCCCTGCCCTTATCCTGACCCCCCTCCTCCTCCAGCTGGAAGCTGTTCCACAGGAGTCCCTAAAGCAGCTATCCTGCCTCCGGCTCTGCTTCTCAACAAGGTAGCATGTGCACCCGAGAAAGGGAAGCCCTCTGATTTTACAGCTCCTTTGAGCCAGACAATAAAAGACAAAGTTTGTACCTATGCAATGTCTAAATTAAAGGATTGCATTCTTGGTCATGTTCCTGTGCAGATTTGACAGTCCTTAAACCCGGGACAGCTGAAGACTCCTAAGGGATGCGCAGACATGAAAAGTATTTGTAAATAGCTCTATTGAGACACATTCGACATAGCATAAAATTCACTCATTTAAAGGATATGATTTAATGTTTTTAGAATAGCCACAGAATTGTACAATCATCACTAGGCTGTAATCTTAGAACATTTTCATCACCTCCAACGACACCCTATTGTCAGTGAGAATATGAATGCATAGTAAAGAATCAGCTTGCATCCCTTTGACAGTCACACATGCTCCTTCTAAAATTGATCTTCCCAATTAATCTTTTCCTGCAGTTCCAGGGTCACATAGACTTCTGTTTCCACCTCTCCGTTCACAGCGTCTTCTAATCTTACCGCTGTGGGCTCTGGGGGCACACGTCCCACACACGGCAACAGTCATGCTCCGGCTCATGACTGTGGAACAGAGATCAGAGTCTGTGTCACGAGGGCCACCTGTCCTGACATGTCATGCATCATGGGAGGGCACTTTGCTTTCCCTTAAACCTGTGCATTTCTGCTTTATAAAAAATGTGTTACTAGATTCGAGAGTAATTGGATCTATTTGGGGGCTTCTAAATGTGGCTGTGATATAATTAAAATTTGTTTTCACTAACTTCACTGATTCCATATCCGAACTCATCAAAGGATTCACTGCTCTCGTAGGTAATTCCTGTGAGAGCAAATCAAATCGAGCATTATAAAACATTCAAGTCATCAGTGCCTGTTTTCATCTAAGCTACAAATTTGTGACAAGGCTACATGCCCTATACGGCTCTTTTAGAATTAAAGAACTAGATGCTTCTTGTGGGGAAGTTTACTGGAATATTAAGTACAGACTTTTTAAGAGCAAAAAGTCAGTCTGTATATTTTATTTCCAATTAAGAAGACTTAGTAACATTGACCAGTACTTCCAAAGGCACGACTAAATTCACATATATTTTTAAAGTGCCCAGAGCTAATAAGGCAGAGAGAAATTACTGGGCTGAAAATAAAACAGAAATTCTAAAATTTAAGCTTACCATATAGAGCTACTTTGACCCAGCAGGATTTTATTATTCTGAAAGATGTAACTGAGAATTTGATTTGATTTCTCTGGGAGTAAAAAATCAAAAGTTGAAGCTGTTCCATAAAAACCACACACTTCTTTGGGCTGGATAACCTAGAATCCTGCCCTCAGGAAATAACAAAATGTCAACAGTAAAGACTCCTTGAAGTAAATGAGAAAACTTCAAATCTTGAACTAGAACCCAGGGTATCCCAGAATGCTGTCATTTCCAAGAACCAGGCAGAAGCAAAAAACAAACAAACAAAGAAACCTATCTTTGGAAGAGGATAATATTTACGAAGCCTCAAAGTATTTCCATGAATAAATTTAACAATATAAAATCATATGCTACTGATACTATCCAAACAAATAAATAGAAAATTTACTAAGAGTGAGAATCATGGAAATGAGAGAAAACAGAAAGAGAAGAAAAAGAGATGAGCTCACAGTTTTCATAAAGTGCAAATTAGAAAATGTGAAAGTAGGAAATTGGAGATAATAATTCCAGAGGAGAAAAGCACAAGACATAAAGAACTGCTTGGTAGAGCAGCAGGTTAGACTCATGTAAGGAGAGAACTAGTGAATAAATATATTAGATAGAAGAAACCACATACAGTGAAACACAAACATATGAGAAGATGGAAAATACAAGAGTCAAAAATAGGAGGTAGGGGCTGGGGATGTAGCTCAGCGGCGTAAGTGCCTTCCTTGCAAGTGTGCGGTCGTAAGCTTGATCCCTAGTACCGATAAAAACGAAAAAGACAAAAAAAAAAAAAAAAAAAAAAAAAAAACAGGAGGTAACCTGGACGAACTTGGAAATCCCAGAAATAGAAAAACAAAAGCAAGGTATGTAGAAGCAGACATTGAATCTAGGTTTATTTTGGGGTTTCTCTGAGGCTTCTTTCCACAGCCTCTCCGGGACACTGAGGCAAGGGATGGGTCCACACAGGTAAACTGAGGCCTGCCGTCACAGCAGTGCTGCCAGCGCCACCCTCAGTATCAATGGCAATGGTAGCAAAGGTCTCAAAGGGACAGAGAAACATGGCGCGGAGGACACGAGGATGGGAGAAACCAGGAACCTCTGAAGGTTCCATTTTCCCACATAGTGGGAAATGCATCCATTGAAATCTTGACCTTGGTAACCTCTGTCTTGTTGAGCTTGAAGAAAATCCAGGACCACGATGCACTGAGGGTACTGATGCCATGGAAGAAGCTCACTATGGTGACGGAACATTCACTTAGGGCATGGATACCCTTCGGCTGCAGTGGTATTGGTCTTGTCAGGAGACTTTTAAAGGCATCTATCCTGAGGAGATCCCTTGAAATTTAGTTTCAAGAGCATATATATATATATATATATATATATATATATATATGTATCAGACAGTGATAGAGAGAAGACATAGTGGCAAGAGGACCCTGGAAAGTGAAGATGCACCTTCAGGATAATAAATAAATCTGTGAATCTGGAATCGAAAACATTTAATGAATGAAAGATATGTTAAACACAACTTAAAGAGCTACAATCAGAAGTTGAAAGAAGTAAAACAAATTCCTGTGAAAGATTATATTGTAATATAATATATACCAGGAAGTGTGGTGACGACGGGATCCAGCAGAGAATAAGTAAGTTTCAGACACCACTAAAGAAGGGTTAAACACAAGTTCAGAGGGAGTAATTGCCTCCAAGATAGAGAACAGTAAAATAGATAGAGTTCAGACTCTGATGACTACCAGTAGGAACCCCCTTGGAAGGAGTCGCCATTTACAGTGATATTTGGCAGTGATTATATCTTCCTTAGAATTTTTACCAGCAAATACATGAGTTAAAAGCACAACTTTTCAAACACTTGTAACATTTACTAGTAAATCAGAGAAATGTTTACAAACATTTCGATGGAAGTCTGAAACGACCTTAAGTTATTTCAATTATTTTTAAAATTCACTGCAGTGGAAAATTATATCTTGAGGCACAAAACAATATTTAGACCTACGTACACTACTAAATGGGTCCTCGAACACCATTGTTCATACTGTTACGTAGGAAAATGTAAGTTACTGAAGCTCACTCTCAAGCGTGCACCGCCTTGGACTCATTAAGCAATTTCCAGCTAACAGCTTTACTGTCGAATTGCTTTTATGAAACAGCCAATAAGGGCTCGCTGCTGGGATTGATTTGCAGGGTACAGAGAATTTCTCTGGCTTTTCTGTCCACAATGTGTGAGACATTTCCAGTTGATTATTAGGCTCAAAATCAAAGAGATTTTACATGTCAAGAGATTTTTTTTAATGTAAACCTTAAATTGTAATTAGACAGTTTCTGTATGCTGACTCAGGGTGTCGCTAACCCCTCCCCCCAGCTATAAGGAAAGCTATAATTTTCTGAAGTGATGGTTTTGCTAATGCAGCACTGATATTGTCAATATAACATTAATATTTATTCAATAAGATTAATCCATATTTTGAATTTTATGGCATTATTACATTTTTTAAAGGAATAACGAGACATGAATGATTAAGAGTAAAGGTTGGCTAGACATTCTGTACACAGTCATTTATAGAATTCTGGAAATAGAAGATCAATCATATTGTTGTCAACTTAAATGTTTTAGAATTTTAACTATCTAAACAAATGGACCTTATATTTACATTTATGTATCAAGAGTGTAGGAGAGTAAAAGTAGTAATTAGTACTAGCCATAATGAATAATATAAGCATTCATTTTGCAATTTGTAAGAAAACTAAATGGAAAAGCAATAAACAATGCTAACACAATTGATGGAATAATGGAAAATTTATCCAAGGAGAACAAGAAAGAGACAAAGCCATATGGGACATATGACACAATGGTTTCAAACTCACATATAAGTATTTTACACATGTATTTTAAATGTTCCTGTTAGAGTGCCACCCAGACTTGCTAGTACACACCACAGTCTCAGCACTTAAGCAAGCTAAGGCAGGAGTTTTGCAACTTTGAGTCCTACCTGGGAAATTTAAAGTGATCCTGTTTTAAAATAAAAAATAAAAAGGGGCAGAAAAATAATTCAAGGATAAAATGTCCTCATGGGTTCCATTCCCAGTATCCAAATAAATAAAAAAAAAAAAACCCTGTTATCAGAATGAAGTAAAATACCCATGTGCTGCTTCATGTTTAATAAAGGCTAGGGCTCCCAGAAAGTTTATAAGAAATGTTATGGAAAAAGACATACAAACATATAACATTCTAACTTCAAGGAATATTTAGGAAAATTAATGTATACTGTGCCATAAAATACAATTTTCTCAAGTTTCAAAATTTAAAATCCTACAAAGTATCTTCTTTGACCACAAGACATTTACAGCAGAAAAAAGCACCTTTGCAAATTTTGTACTTGGAAGTATAAAAGTGTGTTTATAAATAAGTCATGGGCCAAAGAAGAAATCATAAGGGAAACTAGAAAATAACTTGATGAGAATGGGAAGAAATGTTGTGATGAAATGTGCAACAGAATTATTTTGGTTTTTTTTTTTTTTTTTTTGGTACCAGGGATTGAACTCACAACCTTGTGCTTGCCAGGCAGGTGCTTATGCTGCTGAGCTAAATCCCCAGCCCGTGCAACAGAATTAGAGTCAAGGCTGGAACTCAATGCGCAGTACATTTTGTTACAGAGGAAAACAAAATAGGTTTGGTATGAAGTACAAGCTCCACTTCAAGAAGTTAGAAGAATATGGAAAATCACTTCAAAAAACAGGGCGAAGGAAGAACTTAATTTAAAAAATGGAAAACTAAAGATCGCCAAAATCACAAGTTGGGTTTTAAAAAAATTTCAGTAAGTTTCTGCCAAGACTGATAAGGAAGAGCAAAAGAGATTAACTTTGGAGGAACCAAATACAATGGTGTCTGAAAATAACTGTTGCTGCCTTAAAGCCTCAGAAGCAATGCACAACAACAAAACAATACCATTTAAGGCACCGCCTTTCACACAGCTAGACAACAGAGACATTCTAATCTGCAATTACTACCAGTAAATGTAAAAAAAAAAAAAAAACAAAAAAAAAAAAAACAAAGTCTTACCAAGTCTCTCTCTCAACAGAAATCTTCTGTAGGAAACCAGCGTAGTCTTGGGGAAACTACATGGTAGAGAGAAGAGAGCTTGCAGTAAGTCTAGAATTGAGCTAAATGCCAACAGAAAGATGAAGCAGAAAGTTTATAAGGAAAATGTTAAAGTGCAGGATGTGAGACAGCCTTCACCAAAATGCACTGACTGTACAGGAAGAGGAGAATGATAAAAGGAAGGACAGATGCTCTTGCAGGTTGGATGGTGAAGCAAAAGAAGAATGTGTAAGATTCTGAAGGGCGAAAAAGGATAAAATACTTGGGGGTTACACAATTCCTCCAGCTGCCACCACAAGCAACAAAATTTTATTTAAGGAACTGTAGTGTAGTACACTGACAAAAGAGGGCGCCATTGAGCTAAGAATGCTGTAAACCTCCCTGGATCCATACAATGAATAGAAGATGGAATCAATCAATAAAGGGATTGTGATCAAATTGAAAACAAAAATTAAAATACTCCAGTGAACAAAATTAGCTCCTGAATCAACTATGCAACAGAAAAAATTATACTATGACACTCAGAATGGAGAAGCATTTGTACTGTGAAAGATTGCCTTTGCACAGAAACTTTAAAATGAAAAGCGAAAAATTTTTTTAAAAAAGAAAAGTGAATAACATGGTCAGTGAAAAGGATAAAATATAATTTTTATGTTAGGTTGTAATACTTAGCTACAAGGAACCAAGGGAAAAGAGACTAAAATTTTTAATATTTTTATTTTTAATTTTAATTTTTAATAAGATGTCAACAAAGAGCAGAAGACCATTCATGAGAAAGAGATTGAAATGAGTTGAAAAGTGTCAGGAAGTGGTGGAAATGGAAGGTAGGCATAGAAGAAGCAATGTACCTGTAATTGGAGGCCCTGGTGAAGAAAATCTAAACAATTCAACAGCTTTAATATCATTTGTTTGGGCTGAGTGGTTCCCTGCTGTGGGGACCCCTGAACCATACACATGTCCTCTTCCCACCAGGTCTTCAAGTTAATGAAATTCCCTTCTCACATATGTTGGGAAAAGTTAGAAAAACACAAAGCCCCGAAGAAGAGGTAATTGTAAAAATTAGGACTGTTTCCCCAAACTCCACACCTAGATGGTTTCACTGATGAACCCTGTAAAGGTTCCAGGATCAACTTACACTGGGATTCTATAAGTTATTCCAGAAAGTGAAGGCGCACACCTCTCAGTCAGCTTTAGGACCCTGACTTCTGATGACAAAGCCAGACGAGGCAGAAAGAAGGCGCTCACAGACTGATATTCCTCATGTACACAGGTACACATAACCCTGGCAAATCAAAACCATGACTTATAAGCAGAAAAAAAAAAAAAAAAACAGGGAAATATATATACGGCATGATCAAAGGAAACAAATCTGAAGAATACACTGATTTAATGTTAAAAAGTCAATGCAATTCAACATGCTGACCAAATGAAGGAGAAAACTGTTTTGGAGTTGATGAAATTTTTAAATGTATACTCACCAGAATTGAATACAGTCTAGAAACAATAGAAAAGGGGATGACAAGTAGGAGGCTGGTAGTGTAGAATGAAACGCACACATGGAAGATGAAGTGATATGAAAATTAGGAGGCTGGGGTCAGAGAAAAAGGTCCAGTGTTTTAAAAGGTGGTGGGAAATAGTGTCCGCTGGCAGACAATAAAGCGATAAAGACCTAGAACTGTTTGCTGGATGCATGTCGTGAATTCTTGGACTGGAGAAACATCTCAAACCCTATACCAGATGAACATAAGCATCTCCTCTCCCCAAGACATTGTATTAAAAGTGTAGAAAACTCAAGAAAATACACTGAGACCAGACAGGGGGGAAAAACGGAATACCTGCAAAATGACTCAGGGCAGTTTTAAAGACAACACCACAGTCAGAAACTAGATTAGATTTACTTGATACTAGAAAATCATTTCCATTGAGCTAGACTTCTAAGCCCGTGAAAAACTGCAAGTTCACAGCTTTGAAAGCATCACTGAAAACTGAACCTCAGCAACAAAGCAAATGGAACCACAAACCAAGAAAACCAAGTAGGTCAAAATGCAAAAGTGGGCACAGAGTGGGTAAAATATCATAAAAACCTAAATAAATACTATCAGTTAAAGAATAATAATGATTATAAGGTAAATAATTAATTAATATTGGTCTTATAAGGTGGAAGATAAGGAGAGAGAAGACATCTCAGAACTTATCTCCCACACAAGAATTTAATGTTTTAGTTACATGGTGTTCAAACTAATTATTTGCTAATGTTTAAAATGTAAGCACCTTCTTTTAAAAATCTGAATTTCCACTAAATTTAATATGTATTTTATTTTATAAATTTTAAGTTAACATTGCAAAAATATAAATATAATGTAAATTTCCAAAACAAAAGAAGAAACTGACCTTTTGGTCAGTCCAGAGGTGCTCAAAACAAAACAAGAAGAAAGAAAGAAAGAAAATGTAAATGTGGTGAATAAAAAAAGTAGCAAACTCCATTTATTTTCGCTTTCTTTTAATTTACTGTTTATGTCTTCCAGGATGACGGTGAGCCACTTGTACCATCAAACAAAGAGTATAATGTGAAGGACTCAGTTTACAAGTCTTCCACACAAAAGTAGGTATTTTCCTGATAGAACCTAAAGTCCGTCTCCTTGTGTCTGATGCCCCATCTGCAGTGTAGCCCTGACCCCATGAGTAATTCAGAGAACACCAAACACAGACATCTACTTATGTCGACTAAATAAGAAACATGTGTCCAGGTGGAAGGGAGGCCAATCAGACAGGACAAGAAGAGGGGCCGCAGCCTCAGCAGAAGGCAGAGGAGGGCTTGGAACCAGACCTCACGGGTGCTTTCATGGAGCATGAGGACCAGCGACAGGGCCCTCTGGCAAGAAGGACCTCAGCCAGTTCTGCATGAAGGGAGGTCACGTGTGGAGAGAGTGGTTCAGACACTGTCAGCGTGTGGAGGGGCTGTAGTTGGTAGAGCAGGTGCGGACAGGGAGTGGCTGCCGGAGAGTGCTAAGCAGCCAGCGCGATGGGCTGGGCTGTGGTGCACCTCTAAGGAGGAGGAGTCCAGCATGATCCTGAAGCTTGGACCCCTGTAGCTGCACTGTCTGACAGCACTCTTTCCCTCGAAAGGCAAAGGCAGGTATGCATGTTTGAGGGGAAACCTGAAGGACAGCTTTAGGTAGGCTGACTATATAAACATTCACTGGACATCTAGAGATCGCAGTGGATGTGTCCAGTAGGCAGAGGGATCAACAGGCCGGAACCTTGGAGAGAAGTCTACTAGAGAGAACAGATCCCGGAGCCAGAGCTCACAGACGCCAGGCTCTGGTGAGGACCCTAAAGGAGAGGTGCAGAGAGGCACCGAGCCTTGACAGCCCTCCGTGAAAAGCGCAGAAGGGGCAGGCACCAGCAGAAGCTGAGAAGGGCACAGGCAAGGTGGAGAAGCCTGCAAGATCACTGGAGTCTGGAAGCAGAAGGCAGGCGAAGGGGGTGCCCAGAAGGGCAGAGTGAGGAGGTGTTTCGTGCCCTGCTGGCTCCAGGAGGGGAGGCCCAAGATGCATGAGCAGGGCACTCTGCAGGCTCAGAGCGCAGCAGAGTGACAGTGAGGAGCAGAAGCCAAACACAGGCACAGCAGGAAACGGGAGCAGAGAGGAGAGGGGCTGTGGCCTGGGGAGCCACCCAAAATGAAGGAAGAAAGGTTTATTGAGCTCACTGTTTGTGGAGGTTTGATCTATAATTAGCTGGCTTGAAGGCAGGGCGGCATGGCCCTGGGGTAATATTTCAAGGCAGCAGCCAGCAAAAGCAGCCAGAGCAAAAATGAGGAGAACAAGCCTCTCTTTCTTCCTTATAGTGTATGCAGGCCACCCCCAGCCCCCTAGGGCGGGTACAGCACTCACACCATCTCTGTGCCCTGCTCTCTCACAGGCTGAGGATGTTTACAAAGTAACGGGTCTGGCTCTCTGCTGAGTCTCTCAGTTAAACTTCTAAACTTCTTAAGTTGACACAGTGTATCAACCATAACAGGTTTCAAGTTTAACCATCAGTAACTGAGTAACCTTCAGCAAACAAAATCAATTTTTGAAGCAGTAATGTATTTATAAACTCATGGTATTCTTTTCTAGTGGTAAAGGAAAGATGAAATGTTTTTGGAAAGGAAGATGCATTACATTAGGTCCACGTATCAGTTTTCCACTCTTGTGTCACCAATCACCTCAAACTGAGCGACTCTTACCATTGTGTGTTCCTACGAGTCAGAAGTCCAGGCAGGACCTGACCCATGGAGAGCATTCTCCAGGCTGACACGAAGCTGTCTCATCCTCCAGGCTCATTTAAGCTCTTGGCAAAACTGTAGCCTTGAGAGTGGTGAATTCTTCCTTCTGGAGCGGCCACCGAGCACCTGCTGCTGGGTTTTGGCGCTGCCTGGGGCTGGCTTGCTCCAGCAGACCCACTGAGGGTAACCCAGCCCTGGGGCAGCTGAGACTCTGCCGACTGGGGACCTCACTTAGGGGTCATGAGTCCATTTCGACATACAGAGTGGCATGCTGCAGGAGCAGTGCTCTATGTGCTCCGGGCTGCTGGGCTGGGGAGAGAGGACACCGAGGGGAAGGAATCCGGTGTCGCCCTTGGATCCTGCCTATCACAGTGTACCACTGTTGTGAGCTTTCACCGCTGAATGTTTGCTCTTCCTAAAACATCCTCACCTACTCATTTCCCAGAGCTTACGAAGCTGTCCCTTGGGATAAGATGCTGCCACCAAAACTTGATCCAGAGGAAACAACGGTAGAAAAAGCTGCTGACCTGGTCTCTCAGAGTTGCACCCTGAAAAGATATGAGAGCGCACCCGCAATCACCCAGGTCAGTGAATGCCTGCAGGGGCAATGCGTCCCCACTGTACTCACACTGTGGTCCAAGGCTTACAGTCACACTAACACTTTATTGTTAAAAATTAACGAGTCAAAATGCTGTGACCCTGAAAGTCACTGGTAACTGCAAATTGCTTGATATCCTGCATGCTAAAGATGCTTCCATAAAGATGGTCTCTTTCTCTGAAGTAAATTGCAATGGCTCTATTTGTAGCATCACAGAAGAAACAGTGCATAGCAGAGGACAGGAGGTAACTGGGTAACTGGTGCCGGGTGTCCTGGAGGTGGGACCGAGACCTTAGTTCTGTGCTCCCCAAGGCAGAGAGGAGGACTCTGCAGTAACAGGTCACTCTCTGTCACCTCTTCTGGGGATGCAGCAAAGCATCCTAAGCTGTTGGGAGTGAGGTCCCTTCTTTCCATTCCCAAACACTGAGATGTCACTGTGTGGATTACTGAAACCACGTGAGAGCTGGCATACCATTTGTGAAGCGTGTGAGGCCTGTGACTCCACTGCTGAAACACACCTTTTCTTACAAAGTATAACCCATGCTGCTTGAGGTGCTGCACAGCTACTGTCTGCCCACAGCCCACCCCTCACCTCTGCTTCCCAACCCCATTCTTTCCGTCTGGTGTTCCCCTCTTCTGCCCAGCGTCTCCCCACACTGCATCCCGCCCTCTCCCTCCAGCTTCCCTGTCCTGGAGTCTGCCTTGCTCAGGTCCCTCCTCCCTCCTTGCTCTCTGGTTTGTTGCCGAGCTGGGCCCCACCCTGCCTGATACCCCTCTCTGTGCTTGCACAGTGCCCAGGGTCCTCGGACCCCTTTTCCTCTGGCCCATCTCTCCCTGCACTGGAGTCTGCAGCACTGTGGGGTGGCCCCTGGGAACAACGGGGTACATGGGAGCCCCGGGGCTAGGAAGGAAACCAGTATTATTAAAATGCCGCGACAGGGTACAGGAGCCCCAGACCAAGAAGTCCCTATTGTGCTCCAAAACAACTTCAGCTTTTGCAGAGCAACGTGATAAGAAGAGAGAGAAAACATAGCTTTCCTTAGACTCAAACTATAGAAATTAAAATAAGTTAAGAGATGTAAAATATGTAACATTCCATCTGGATTTAAAGACCTCTCACCTGCTTTGATACTTTGAAACCTTGCAGCCATGGTGAGTTCGTCGCTTCCTCAGTGTCCTGCGCCCTTGCCAGGCAGGAGAAGGCTCCGGGCTCGGGGCTGTGCTGCGCTGGGAAGGGTGGCTGGGGCCAAAGCCAAATACAGACTCGAAGTCACAGCTGCGTCCTTAACTGCTGCCTACTGTGCTCGGTTCTAGATGGTCAGTGGACTCTGGGACAGATTTCAGACACGACGGTTCTCCGCACCTGCCAAGCCCATCAGTTTGTAAGTGTTTACCCCCAAGGTCCCCACCAGCTTCCTCATGGTGGCCGAGCTGGCTTTCAGAACCCAAGCCCTCACCGAGGGCAGCAGGGCAGGGGAGGCCCCGGAGGCCCTGGCCCACAGCCTGGGGCAGGAAGAGGCCCTGGCCCGGGTCATGGGCTCAGTGGCCCCTGCTCTCTGCTCTCCTCCTCCTTAAATTTAGGCCGTCATAGGTACCTGGACCATGGTAAGATAGGGACTACTTTACAAGCAGCTCGGCGTGGACAGCCGTATCACAGCATTCCACCGACTGCGTATAAAAGGGATTGTAAGATATTTCTATCCATTGTGTCTGACGTCCTTATCCCATGGTCTATTAATGCTGGAAACTACTCCTTTTCCATGGGCAATTTTAAACACTGTAAAAAAAAACCTTGGGGGCTGGGGATTTAGCTCAGCGGCATAAGCACCTGCCTTGCAAATGTGTGGTCGTGAGTTCGATCCCTAGTACCGGTAAAAACGAAAAAGACAAAAAAAAAAAAAAAAAATTGAAAAGGTTACCATTTCGTCTTTCTCATGACCCAGATTATCATTTTTTTCTTTTAAAATTCATTTTTGATATTTCATATGCACAAAAACATACCAATAAAAATAAGATGGACGCTGTGTATCTGAGCCACGTGTGATGTTGCACACCTGTAATCCCAGCGCTCTGGGGGGCTGAGGCAGGAGGATTACAAGTTTGAACCCAACCTAGGTAATTTAATGTGATTTTATCTCAAAACTTAAAAAAGCTTTTTAAAAGGAGGTAGGGCTATGTCTTAGTTACTTTTCACTCGTTGCTGAGACAAAATACTTGATGCCCAAAGTTGGGAAAGGAAAGGTTTATTTCTTACAGTTTTTGGAGGTGTCAGTCCAAACTCGGTTGGCTCCAAGGCAGGCTGGCATGTGGAGCCATGCAGCTGCAAACAGCAAGGCCGAAACCGGCAAAAGAGCAAGACACACCTTCTTCCTGCCAGTACGTCACATTCTGGCTCCACCCCTAGTGGGTGTAGCACTGACATCGGCAATCCAAGCGCTAGACAGTGAACCAATCACAAATGCATAATGCAAATGCATGAGGCCGGGAGGCCTCAGACATAAACCAGGCTATAACTCTTAATCTTCAGTGCCAAAAATAAAATCTGTGCATCTCTTTCTCTCTTTACAAATAAAAGGCCATCAACACAGCAGAAACCCACCCTGTGGCTCTCCATACGCACATGTGTCTCCTTCAAAGATATGACCATTCTGTATTTGACCTTCTGTATCTTCACTCAAGCTTTGAGTCCTTTCAAACATATTGAGAATCAACACACAGCTCGGGGTTCTGTTTCTAAACTCAGCATGCATGGCATAAGACACAGAATTATGCCAGTTAACATGCTGGCCAATATTGCTGGACATATTGACACCTGTGTCTGCAAATGCTCTTTTCTCTGCTGTATGGTCTTCCTCTGGGTGGAAATATCCCCATCGTGAAACTCCTGGTGCCGTTAGAGAAATGTCCACCTCACATATTCAAGTGTAAATGTATTTCTGGATTTTATACAAAATTCATGCCTACAATTGCTTGGTGAGGAGCTTTATATTCTCAAGCTTCTGGTATTTCCATGTTTTTCTCCCACTGAATTTTCCCTGTGAGCACTCCTGTGAGCAGTGTATAAATTCCATCACTGTGCATTTGTACAGTGTTCAGGATTTTCACACTGAAGGAGCTCATTCTTGTGAGTGTGAAATTGTACTTCCTTAAAACCTCAGATTCCCCTGCCCGACAACTGGCATCAGTTTTTGTAAGCTTATGAATTTCTTGGATGCTCATACCCTGTCCTCTCGTGGGTTTTTTTATTTCATCATTTCCTTTTCTCTGCATTGTAGAAATGTAAGAGTTTATTCCTCCAAATAAAATCCTTCCTTGCTAATAACGAACATCAAAATATCTCACACTAGTCTGTGGGTTTCTACGTTCAGTTGAGTTTGCTGAAATGGAGTATTGAGTTGTAAGGTAACTGACCATCAATAGATTCTTTCAGATCTTGTTATTTTCCCTGCTTTTTAAATAAACCGTTCCCTACTCTGAAACTGTAAAGACATCCGCCTTTTTTACTATTTTTCTGATTTTTTTTACTACTCAGGATTGCAGCGAGGATCTTTGGCAACAACTTTGGGTTACATTCACAGCCCTTTTTGTATAGTTTTAACCTTGCTGAGACAATTTTAACCCCTGGCTAAGCTTAAACTTCTCCCCCTCAGCTGCCCAGAGTGCTGAGAGTATAATCTAAAACATTTAAAGGGGGTATAATCTTAAACATTTATCTCTTTAAGCCACCTTTTACTTTATTCATAATGAATTAGGAATGCATTTTTCAACATTAATAAGAAATAGTCCTTGGTCAGTTTAATGATTGGACTTTACCGAATAGTCCGGCGGTCATTTGAAGCCTGTTGGCTGCATCCTGTTAGCAGTGAGTCAAGCCAGAATTTTGCAAAAAATTAAATAGAATAGAAAGTGGGAGTGAATCATATGGAATTTTACAACAGAACTGTGTCCTTTTCAACAAAAACTGAGGCCACGTGCAAACAACAGTGTGAGACAGACAGACAGACATAACAGAAGGAAGACAGGCTGTCAAGGAAAGCTCTTTCCTCTGTGTCTTGTCTCTGGAGCTTCCGGTGGGAGGGTGCAGCTCATGTATTGATTTATATTTGCCAATGAATGATTGATTGCAAAGCAAAGTACAGGAGACCTTTGCCCATAATTAGCTGAATGAGTGAGTTTTCTCATAAATTCTAATTATAAAAATAATATTAAGGGTAACATTTTCCAAATCTTGGATAACTTCATAATTTCAATAAAAATATTTTGTCATTGACAGAAAAAGGGATCGTGCAGTGGGAATGTACAGAATCCTAATCAGGTCTGATTTCAGGATCTACAAACACACAGAGACAGTAAAAAGAACCCTGAGACTCGTAAAATACATTTATACTTGATTGAGGCATATTTCAAAATAATGTGCAAGATTTTGAATTTCCTGGGTTCCATCTGCAGTACTTAAAATAAACGCAATTATTTAAATTATTATCTGGACAAATATGTAAAACATCCCAAATTAGGCTCTAATGTAGAAGCTAAGTGATAATAATTTATAAAAAGATTGAAATGTTAAAAACTGTCAGCTCTTCATGTATACAGGAAGCAAGAATTGCTGATACTCCTCCTGTAAATCTTTTTTAAAATGTATAAAATCTTAGTATTAATTCCTAATACATGAATGTTAAATCAGTGAACTTCATTGCCATATTGTTAGTTCACATTACACTGTAAAGGAACAAATTACTGCCCCAAACTATAGATATTATTATGTTTACATGGACCCATTGCATTTCCTGTTTGATTTTTGCTGACAAATCCATTGGTGAATGAAGGGTAAGTCTTCTAGGACTGTGACAACTCAGAAATCCTGATTCTGCACCTAAGAAATGTACACTCAGGAGCCTACACAAAAGCCTACATAGGAATGTTTATGACAGATGAATGTGTGAGCTCCAGAGCCTAGAAACAACAGTGTGCATTTAGCAGATAAATGGGTGAACACAGTGGAGGAAGCCCACACAGTGGAGCAATACTCAGCACGGAAAAAGACCAACCTTGCACACAGCAGTAGGTAGAGACCTAAACACATTTTCAGTGGAAACAGCCAGGCTCAAAAGGTTGCACCTTGTACATCCCCATTTACATCACAGACTGGAAAAAAAGTCCAAATTTAAACATCTTTAAATTATTTCTAAACTCACAGTTATTTCAAAGGCCAGTGAGGAATGTCTGAAGACTTATTATTTCAGCTGGATAAATAGTTTAAGAACTGGGTGTTTATTAACTATATTCAGTAACTCAGATGTCCCTGTTTTCTCTTTTCCTAGTGTGAACCCGAGTTCTAGAAGTAAATACATCCCTCTCTACAGGTGAGTACCGTTTCTCCACGCTCTCAGTGCTGGCCTTATGTTCCGCTCCTCGGACAGCGCAGGTCTGGAGTTTCCTGGTGGGCTGGGGGTCCCAGGCCAGGAGTTCCAAGGCTTGTCATAAAGATTTTGATTAATTTTTTAAAAATGAGGAGTCATGATTTTCAGTCTTCCCCAAGTCGGGTTATTTAAGGGAATAATAAAGCCGGCTGGTGCTGCTGCTGGTGCCACCAATCGCGTCTTCCGGCCTCAGGAGGTTCCGGGCCCCTCGAAGTCAAGCTGTGAGCCAGCGGCTCCTCTTTCCTCCCCTATGACAGTGGCCACCTGCCAGCAGCCGACTCCGATGCCTTGGACGACCCCTGCGGAGACATCATGGCCTTGCCCCAGCCTCGGCGGTCGAAACCTCTGTACACAAACACCAGTCGGTGAGTCTCCCTCACGTACTTTATCAGGGGAATGAGACCTGGCACACATGAAGGAACAAAGTGATTGCCTGGCCCAGCGTGGTCACGGATGCCTGCAATCTCAGCACCCTAGAGGCTGAGGCAGGAGGAGTCCAAGTCTGAGTGCAGGCTGGGCACCTTAGTGATTAGGGAGACTTTGAATCAAAAGACATACATAAACGGAGGATGCAGCTCAGTGCAAAGGCCCTGGGTTCAGTTCTGGCCCTGAAAACAAAATCACCTGGCCTGTTTTTTAATGTATCATAAGAAGAACATATCCGGTGTTTTAGGGACTCACCAGAGGGCTTTCAGCAAATCACTTCACCCCTTGACTGCAGTCTCTTCACTTGGAAACTGTGGCACATTATGCCACCAAGCAGTTAGACCATGGGCAAGTAGATTCAGCATCTGAGCCACTAGAGACATGGCTGGTCCGTGACAGGTCATTATTAAAGTTGGCAGAACTGGGTTCTTCTTCAGAATGACATTGGTACATTTTAGTGCTGGAATCCTGCTGGGCAGAGCACTGTGGGCACTGCCTGCAAGGACTGGACCAGCAGTGCTCAAAAGGCAGAGAGGGAAACTCAGGCTTCGCAGTGCAGCTCCTGCAGAACCTCTGCACCTGGGCGCCATCCTAAGGGAGAAGGACCTGAGTCCAGCCGTCCTGTGCATTGTGTTAGAAAGCTTGCGTTCACAGTTGACGTCTAAAATATGACCACACTGCACACACACGGACTTATAACCAGTGGCAGCACAGTCTCAGGAAGGGTGAGTGACCACAGACACCCTCACTGTATCTGGGGACCAGGTCCAGGACCCTGGGATCCCGAGGCCAGAGCTGCTGAGGTCTCTCGTGTGCTGTAGAGGAGGACTTGCATAGAATGGGCATAGTCATTAAATCATCACTAGGCTACATCGTGTAGGGTGAGTGTGGGATAGCCACTTACTCTGCTGCTCAGAGAATACGCACAGGGAGAAACAGTTTGTGTATGCTCAGTATAGTGAAAATTCATCCCCGGGGTCTTCTGTCTACAACTGGCTGGGTCTGCAGAAGGAAAATGCAGGAGGTGGGAGCCTGATGGAGCTCCCACAGCCTTCACAGCGGCCTGCACCTGACATCCACACTCTTCCTGCAATGACAGGGCCATTCCACCTGTGGTTTCTAGAAGGAGGGGCAGATGGGGGTGAGGGCTTCACACGGGGTCGTGGCACCAATCCTTGCAGTGGGGTCAACGTTAATGAATTTGCTAACATTGGTTTTGCCCATAAGACAGCCCAGATGGGTTTCACATTAGCAATTCTTAGATATATTCTATTATTTCTAAAATGCGATGCTATTTCCTCCAATGACTTTGGAGTTTTCTGTTATCTATTGTGTCTCAATTCTTTTGACTACCTGTAGTCAACTGTAAAATGCGTGTGGGATCTATCTTTGGCCCTAAACTCTAGTCACATCGCCTACCTCCCCGAAGCATTTAATGGGCATGCAAATCTGAGTGTCAAACATGCTGCAGATGCTGTCCCAAGAAGAAAACATTGCAAAGGGACAAGCTGTTCGCAAACAGTCAAAACGCAGGATGAGACAGAGCCCACACAAACTGAACTTCATGTTTCTGAAGTCCAGCAGGAGAGACAGATTTCACAGCTGGCCTGAGAGCTGCCTTGATGTGTGGAGTCCTGAGGATGGATCTGGGTGCTGTGTTTCTTCCATAAATTCTGCAAGGAAACCTTGCAGAATTAAATACTGCTACTAAACATCAAAATCTCACAAGTGACCGTGCCTCCCCGGACATTAGTTACTTGGGAGGCTGAGGCAGGAGGATTCTAAGTTCCAGGCCAGCGCTGATCAGCTTGGTGAGACTCTGTCACAAAAAATTTAAAAATTTTTTTAAAAAGCTGAGGGTGTATCTCAGCATGAGGCCCTGCTCGATCTCCAGCACTGCAAAAAGCAAGCAAACAAAAATAACAAAATCCAAAAATCACAAAAATTTTAAAGACAATTTTAAAACTTTTTTCAGATATAAAAGACCAATGGTGTTTCTTTTTTGAATTGGATATGTGAATTTTGCAATGCTCCACTAAGCATATTCTTGTGGATCAATCTTCAAAAGGAATAGGCAACAATCTAGAAGCATTTTTAAAACGTGACATAAGAACATACTGTTCCACTTGAATAAATTACGGAGTATGCTATTTTTCTCATCTTGTTTAAATATATCTGTTTAAATATCTGTTTTAAAGGAAGTGAAATTATAAAGCAAATCGCGTTGTAACGAAATAATAACTGTATTTCTCTCATTTGAACACGCGAGGGCGCCCGAGCTCGCAAAATTTCTCCTTGATTCATTTTTTTTGTTTTGTTTTTATTTTCAATTTTTAACAAAATCTTAACCTTTTAACACAAAGAAATAGCTCCCATTTTTATTATAAAATATGTATAAGTGCAAAACATACGATATCGTATGTAATTTATAAAATAAGGCCGCATTGCCTGTGTATTACCGGCCTAGCTTAAAAAAGTTTACTCAACTCTTGCGCCCCTCTCAATCCACCGCTAGCATCCCAGCCCCGTGCGCAGCCCACTCATCCTCTTGCACCCATTCTTTGTTGCTTTGCTTTACAGGAGCGTTACCCCCAGGACACGCTCTTTAAACAGGATAGTGTGTAGTTTCTATAATACCATGTTGAACTAAAAACTAAAATACAGAAGAATTTATACAGTAGGATGACATTTTCCTAAAGCCTCAAATCCACAGACACATGTGCTCGATGCCAACCGAGAATGATATCAACGTATTCACCTATAAATTCCCTCACTTTAAGGTTTCTTCCACACAGCTGGCGGTATTCAGCCGTGGCTGCCAGCGAGCTGTTCATGGATGCCATCTGAAGGTTTTCAAAGTCCCTCACTGGCTGGCTTTGGTTTCCTTGGTCGCCAAGTCATCTGTGGTCTTAGGTTGGTGGGCTATACTAACAGTTTAAAGGGCAGTTTGTGATTTGTGTTACGGAATTGAACCTGCTCATTATAGAGAAGTTGTACAAAAATGAATAATAATGAGAAAAAAACTCTCACAACTGCTGATGACAGCCGGGCACCTTCTCATCTGTAACGAGCATCTGTAGTCTTGCGTTTGTGTTGGTACAGTGATCACCTCAGTGCATGTAAGGTTCTCACCGCCTTAACGTAAGGACAGAATTGTGGGCACACATTTTCATGAACTCTCCCTGATTCTGTTCATGCAGTGGTGCCATAGGTGATGTTTCTTCAGATTGCATATGTAAATCAGTGCCGCTTTGATAAGTAAGTCTCTCATATACTTTTGCATAAATATTTTATGATTTGAAATTATTTATATAAGGAGAGACTCCTTGGAATAGATCCTGGAGTCAAAACATATAAACACTGCTGAGCCTATATAAGTCTTCTCCTGGAAGTAGAGAAATTTACCACAGAATGGGCATTTATTCCCACCTTTAATGTCAACCCAGAGGGGCACAGTCATCACTGTGTTACTCCCTAAATGTCCTCACTGTAAAAATAATGCCAGTATTTTTAAAGTAGAGCTCAAACCTCACTTCCGTGTTCAGTCCCACTAGTCAAAGTCTGATTTCTTCTTGCATACCCTCTCCATGAAGCCAGGCACGCTGCCACATGAACACACGTGCGCATGGTGGGTGTGCACATGTGCAGAGGTGTGAGAGATACAAACTGGGAACAAAATCTTCTTCACGGCTGCATGGTTTGCCACGGACAGATCTGTATCCAGTTCATAGGGTTTTGACTAAAGGATTTTTCTTGTTAAGAATAAAGCAAAAACCACCTTTTATATACCTTTGCACAATTATGTGTGCACACCTGCAGATAAAATAGCAAAAGTTGAAATTATTACAGGAGATTGCTCATTTTTTAAAAAGCTGTCTAGCTATGGTAGGCATGTCCAACTACTATAAGGTGCTGAGAGCCCAGAAACTCAGAACACTAATGCGGTTTCCACGGGTTTTAATGAAGGATGACTGCAGGAACTAGAGGATCCAAACACCCATTGGTCAGGACAGGAAATACTGACGCTCGGGTAACTAAGTTGTTTTGTTACTTTTTCAACAAATAAGTGCTATTTAACAGCTCTGGATAATGTTCATGATTTTTTAAATAATATAAATTTGCTCCCATTTCTGCTCTGTGTCAAGCAGGAAGTGAGGGTCAGGCTGAGACGAGGGTCTCACTTTCCTGTCTGACTGTCCCATCTCTGAGGAGGAGGCCAGGATGGTCGCTCCTGGCCGTGGCCTCCTGATCCCACTCTGCTCTGCCATCAGGAGCCACCAGGACGAAGGGCCTGGGGCCGCGGGTCCATGCACAGCCGGGACTCAGGCATTCCTTCTCACCTTTTCCCAGAAAGACCAAAGAAACTGCCCTCCTTTCCCGGGTCCAGCACAGACACGTGTCCCCCTGTGTTTCCAACTCAGGCGTCTGCCTCCACCGCGCCAGCTGCCACTAATTGCAATCTTTCCTCTCTGAACACCACACAGATTCTTATTTGCTGTGCTTTTCCACCTCAGTGATTTCTGTAAGAAAGCATTTACAAAAGAAAAAGAGGAATTGTCCAAGATGGTTTCCCAGACAGCACCTGGCGGATGTCTGAGTGGAACATCGGAGGCTTCCCTGCCCACCACCAGCTTATGTTGCATTTTAAAAAAATCCTGCCACAGGCCAGGTTCAAGAGCAGCTATGAATAGTAGTTCCCTCCACAAGCTCAACACTTCTGCCTTTTCGGAGGACTTTCACATCTACTCTCTCATTGGCTTTTCAAAATAGTAGGATGAAGCCAAGGTTGGGAGCCTGTTCTGTACCCATTTGGCAGAAAAGGAGGCTGAGGCAGGAGGAAACTATGTGGAGAATCCCAAAGCATACATTTCATGAAAAGCCCAGAGAACAAGCCCAGCATCCGCAGGGCAGACCTTTGCCCTTGACCCATGTCAAACTTGCCTTTTGCCAGGGCTTCACCCTCGCCTATCATTTCCACATCCCCTTCTAAGTAGAAGACTTGAAGTTTCTGAGGACAGAAGAGAACATCTGTTTCCTGGATGACACTAATCACAGTAAAACTCTACTTCCTGGAGAAAACCTGGGAGCTTAGCACCTTTAGAAAAAGAGTCCAGTGACCAAAAACCACCCCGAAGTGGTTCTGTTTTGTACACATTTCTTGCTGAAAACAACACCAGACAAAGTCCCAGCCCACGGGGACGGACAGGCTTTCTCTCTCTGCTGCGCACCACCAAGGTCTCCATGGCCCCTCCCTTCGCCAGGCCTCTGGACCAGGCTCCTGCAGCCCACAGTGGAGGTGCCCCGCTTGTCCCCACTCCGGGTCTCCCCACCTCTCCAGCCCTCCCTGAGTCCACTCACACCTGCAGATGCTCCCGGGACCACCGCGTGGGCCTACATCAGTGCCTGTCTTCATCACAGGAGCCCACAGCCCCAGGAAGGGGTGCAGTTTCCCCAGCACCAATGTGGCCTGCAGGAGAAGCCCTTCTGAAACAGGGCTGCCAGGCTCAGGTCCGGCAGCTGCCAGGGTCACCCATCCCTCACCAGTGTCTGTTTCTCAGCTACCTCCTCTTACTTTGCATCTCTGGGTCTTTAAATCTTTAGATGGGCATTCTTTAAATGTCCTCCTAGGACTGGAGAATGCAGGTCAGTAATGGGGCACTTGTCCAACATGCATGAAGTCTGTGTTCCATCCCCTCCCTGCAGGAAAAAGAACAAAAAGTAGCCAAGAATGTGAAAGACCTCGCCTGCCTTCTGCCTAGAACCCAGCTCACCCAGGATTTTCCCTGGGACTCGACCTTGATCTTACAAGTTCACCCTGAGCAGGGCCACTGTCACCTAGCCAGGCCCTTTCTGCTGGACTGGGGCCCCCAGATGCCTTTTCTTCTCCCTGGGCAGTGGCATCCTCTCTGAAGCGCAGGCTTTCTGGGATGAGGTCTGCTGCTGCCTCCTGACGGTTAGGATAGCTCTGGGTACCTGACTCAGGCTTTCTCCGTCTGCCAGGTAAAATCCGGCATGATCATCAGACCCATGGTGCAGCAATACTGTGAAAATTAAAGCGTCAGTCCATGGAAAGCACCTAAAGGGGAACACAGCATAACTCAGCGAGAATTATCATGCGTGCAATGCACAGAGAAGTCACACGGTGCCTAAATCTTTACCAGCACAATGTGTATTCCACATGTGACATGCTTTCCCATGTTTCCGTTATTTCCTGTATCGCTTTTAATTATACAGTCTGGGCTCTTTTTGTCTGATTTACTGAACTTCCTTGCTTTCTGAAATTATTATCTACTTCACTGTGCTTAGTGGAGAGAAACCAGTCTGTGTTAATCTTAGGCAATGTGATACCCAAAGTTAGCCAGTGGAGAGCAAAATCCAAGCTCAGAAGGGATGCGGTCCAAAAGGTCCAAAACACCTGTAGTGTAGAGACAAAAACGTAGTTCACATTTTAACGGGCCTCTCTCTGCTGTCCTCAGGTGGGGGCCGGAGCTCTGAATTGGCAGGGAACCCTGGAATCCGTCTCACAGTCTGTGTGCGCATTTCAGTGTCTCTTACATCTTTGTTTCCTCCGCCTGAAAAATATCACCTCACAGCAGCAGCCTCAAAGCATCCCAGAGTGTGCTCTTTTATCTCACTATAAGGGCAAAGTATTGCGTGGAACACGGCAAAAACTCCGCTCGCCATAGCCCTGCCTGCAAGGGTTAAGTGGGTACATTCAGAAGCAGCGTGGGCGACAACTTTCATTTTCAAATACTCGGCAGTTTATTAGGTAACTGAAGCCCAGGCAGCGAATCTGTCAACTTATTTCATGAAGAAAAGTTTTTATTAGATATGATGTCACATCCCTCAACAAAGTGTAACGTGTGCCACCGTTGATGTCAATAACCCACGTTCCACAGACGCGCACGGCACTGGAGGCCGTGTCCACCCAGCCCTCCCTGTGGCTGGCCAGCGGGTCAGCGCACCCAGCTCCCTGACGCTTGGCTGCTTGTGTGCAAGGCTCTGACTTTACAGGTGTTTAACTTTGCAGGTGTCTCCAAGGCAGTGGAAAAAACCTGTCACACAGACGGAGGGGATTTCCTCTGCGACATGCATCGAAGCCTTAATGAGTGTTTGTGGGTAACACACACATCGATCATTTTGCCTCATTGGTAGCTGCCTCTCCACATGATGGCTCTGCTTCTTGAAGAGAATTCTGAGAAATCCTAAAGGACACTGTGGGGGGTTTAACAGCTTTCCTTGCTTACCCATCCACCGTGTATTAAAATTGATACTCTGCTTTCTCCAATTACACAACCCCAGTTTTGGACACATTTTGTTTCTTTGAAGTCTTGCATGTCCGCTAAAGTCAGCTGAGCACCGCCTAAGCGGTAATGAAGCCCTTGCTGCTTGCACGTTTAACACCTCGGTCCCCGGTGTAAACTGTCCTCTCTGCACTGCAGTAGAGGAGCGGGGCTCCAGGAAGCTCTCTTCACTGGAGTGGTCTGCAGTCAGGCTGGGAACGGAAGCCGCCCTCCAGGTGGGGCTTCCCCAGCCTCATGCAGGGCATCAATTTGTGCCGGTGTTGCCCTTGATGTGTTTAGCGTCCCTTCATCAGAGTCACGGGTCCCCTGACCACAGGCTGCAAGCCAGTGAGCCAGCACCAGCAGAGTCAGAGAATTACACTCTTGGAGGGAAAGTGTCACATTCATTGGTGCAGCTTCTTGCCTCGTGTGTACGCTTTTCCCTATCGCTCCAATTGCTTTGCTCCTTGTAGTTAAGACAACAAGTCATGATCAGTAATCAGTGCGGGGTTAACCCTAAGAAACTGCAATTTGAATTACCATATTTTTTCACTTCACTAGAGGACAGGTCTGCAGGGTTTATGTCATTCCCCAGGGCCACCGCTGGCAGTAGAGCTTTGAGGTGTGCTTCTGAGAGCCGATGGGGAAGGTCACGTATTCTTCACTGTTTTTCTAGCCTTGAGTGCAGACACTTTTAACTAACTAAGCTCTTTGGTTGGGCCCGTCTCCTGACACTTTAAAGGGAGTGTGTTTGGCAGCTTGCTGCCACTGTGACAAAACACCTGAAAGAAGCCACTCATGAGGAGGAAAAGTTCACGGTAATTCACAGTTCGTTGCAGTTCAGTCTGTGGTCACTTGGTCCCTCTGCTTTGAGCCCATGATGGCTCCGTACATCATGGTGGAAGGATGGGCAATGGACGGTTGCTCAGATTGCTGTGTCCAGGAAGCAAGGAGAGAACTCAGAGGGACCAGGGTCCCCTTCAGTTCATGCCCCAGAGACCTAACATTTCCCCTCAGGCCTCATCTCCTGACAGCTCTCCCATAGGGCCCCCCAGCTGGGCTCCTGGGGGGCGGCTCTCAAGACCCAAATCATCAAAAAGAAGAGCAACCTCCTTTAAGCTTCTTGAACATCATTCCCAAGATAAATGGTTCCAGGAGGTGGACACATGAAACTGTCCAGTAAGAGCTGGTGTCTTCTTGCATTAGGAAACTGAGCTCAGGGGTGAGTCACAGATGTAAAAGGCCCGCAGTCATTCACAGTACGTTTTCTCAGCCCCAGGAGGAGCTGCAGGGTGAGCATCTGTGAGCCAGCCCAGCCGGCAGGCAGGCTTTCCCACTCGGACAGCCCAAGTTCCAGACCCCAGACAGAAAAACCAAACGAGACCACAATCTCCTTCGTATTTTTCTGTTTGGGTTCTAGTCACAGTGACTATTTCACAAATTATTATTTTCATTTCATCTCATCCCCTCTTTTAACTCCTCACTTTAGGGCTGCAAATATTCCGGGATATACTGGCAAGGTTCATTTCATGGCTACCCAGCCAGCAAATTCTAATATTCCATCAACAAGCCCATCCCCCAACTCGGAGCTGCACCGGTGAGTACGAAGCCCATTACTCAGTCTGCTCTGATACATTAACAGGGGAAGCCCTAATTATGGTCTTTCCATTAAAGAGCAATTAAATACTCAGAAAATTAACATTTTGTAAAAATAGGGCATCAGTCCAAGAAAGGGAAGACTTATTTTTCCCACTGAGGGAAATTTTATTAGGCTTTCTGCATGCTTTTCTTCTGGAATCTTATTCAAAATTACACTGGGAAATGTAGATTAATGCTTATTCAGGTGTTGCTCAAAGGGACATCAAAAGACAGACGTTTGACACACAGCACACAGCAGCGGGGACGGCGTGTTTGCCCGTGGGGCCGAGTTTCACACACACGCCACGCCCTCCTCCTCGGAGAGAGGTCCGTGGGAGGAACTCACAGGAGACCTTATTCACTTCTTTGAGTGTCATCTTATGTTTTACAAACAACAGAACCCCCTTGGCTGTCACAGATGGTTTTAAATTTTGCCTTTGCAAATTGAAAGTACAAGATACTGGATGTCGGGGTGGAAGAGTCCGAGTCCAGTGGCGAAGGGCAGAGCATTCTCTCTCGGAACTCAAATCTGAACGCCCTGGGCGGAAGCCCTGGTCTGCAGAAGAGAGGATGCTGCTTTGAAAAAGCAGATGCTCCCCTGGAGTAGATGAGGAGCCTCATGGGGATGCAGGAGCAGGGAGAGGAGGGGGCACCTCTCTCGGGGTCACAGGGCCTCCTTTATCATCACTGAGCCCCACCTGGGGCTTCTTCAAGAGCCCAGATTCAACGGGTTGGGCACGAAAGATCCCAGCCTACAGCGGCTGCAGTTTCAGGATGGAAGAAGAGAACCATGAAGTTCCCGAAGATGGGGAGTGATTTTGGATGGTTACCTACACCATGGGAAGTCACAGAGAGGGTCAGTGAGTCCTGTGACAGCAGCAGGCCAAGGCTTCCTGAAGAGAGGACATTTGGACGGAACTCTTTCTTTTTACTGGGTGTGGGTGTGGGGGGAGTTATTTGGTTGTTAGGAGACAGGTTCTTGCTCTGTAGCCCAGTCTGGCCGTCAATGCACAGTGATCCTCCTGCCTCAGTCTCCTGAGGGCTGGGATCAAGTGTGTGCACCAGCTCATCCACACGTTCATCCTTTCCTCCACTCTTCCATTGTTGGGTGAACTCATCTGTTCAGCGATTAAGTCGGCAGCATTGCCCAAGCTGCAGATTTTCACAGGAGCGAAGCCCTTGTACAAGGAGCTTGGGAACTCCCAGTGAGCACAGAACAGCCACAGGCAGGACGTGCGATGACCCGCACTGGACACTCACTGTGCCTCCTCAGAGCAGGACCTCTCTCCACCACAGCAGGTGCCTGTGAGCAAGGGCCCCTTGCTGGCCCACTTGACAGATAAGAAAACTGAGCCCCAATGCCTAGGACCACTGAAGAGGACTTGGAAGGGGAGAGTGAGGGAGGGCAGAGTAAGGAGTTGGCTAACAGACACCAGGAGTAGGTGAGGTTGGGGGGCTAGGGTCTCAGGGGGGGTGCCCTGAGCATATGACTCACCCTCTGGATGCCACTGCCTCTGTGTGTGTGTGTGTGTGTGTGTGTGTGTGTGTGTAGGACAGGGATTAGAGGAGAGGAATGGTGAGCTGGTTGTGGTGGTTCATGCCTCTAATCCCAGCACGCTGGGAGGCTGAGGCAGGAAAACATCTAGTTTGAGTCCAGTCTGGGCAATTTTATAACTTAAGGGGACACAGCAAAAGAAAAATCAATCAGTCTATCTATGTATCTACCTATCAATCACCTAGCTATCTATCATCTGTCGATCTATCATTTATCTGTCTATCTGCCATCTGTCATTTTTCTATCATCTGTCTATCTATTCTATGTCTATCACCTGTCTGTCCATCTATCATCATCTATCTGTCTATATTTGTCTGTCTATCAATCTATATCTGTCTGTCTATCATCTATCTACCACCTATCATCTATCTATCTACATCTGTCTGTCTATATCATCTATATATCACCTATCTATCTATCTATCTATCTATCTATCTATCTATTATCTATCTTCTATCTATCTGTCTATCTATCTATCTATCTATCTATCTATCTATCTATCATCTATGGCTTCTGGCTTCCATGCAGCTCAGCCAAACGGCCCTGGTATCAATCCCTAGTAAATTCCCCCACCAACACACACAGAAGCTGCACCCTGACACAGGGAGTGGGGATTTCTGGCCTGAGGATAGAAGCCTCCCAGCCATCTGATGAATCTTGCACTTTGCCTTTGTCAAGTGGAACGTTGGCTCTCTGAACTAATCTTTTGCATTCAGTTTACTCCCCAGATGCTTTGGATTTCGGTCTCCACATTTATGCGTACAGTTTTTAAGATAAGTTCTGTGTGTGTCCAGGGCAGCCAGGTGTTATGGGGTACAAATACATAGGAAGGTGGGCGCTATAGTACAGGAAACCAACTAGTCTGTCATCTCATGTAGTTACCCATTTTCCTTGCCCACTACAGGAGAAGGTAAAATTTACACACAGTAAAAATTCTGCCTTCGATCTTCTCACCCCAGTGCCTGAGTCCACACCCTGACACCCCACTCTCCACTTGTGGGCGGTCACCTGGCAGAGCACCCTGCCTGCAGAACAAAGCCTTTTTGTCTTCCTGCTGGCTCTCTCCTCCTGCTTGGAAAACCATCTCTGCCAGTCAGCACCAGGGGAAAAGGACCTGAGTGTTCTGTGCAGATGTACACAGCTGTTCCTGGGAGGCTTGTGCTGTACACATGGTGGTCACCCTGTACCCTTGCTCCAGAATGGGGTCAGTGTCCCCCCCGACAGGCACTGTGTCTGGGGTGTTACTCCGAAGGCCACCTCTGAGTGACTGAGTGACCTCAGTCTCCCCCACAGCAGCTCCTGACAGGCTCGGGGCTCTGGCCCCAGGAACGTGCAGCAGGGGCGAGGTGGACAGAGTTCAGCCGCATGCTCCCCCGTGTCACCCTGCAGACAGCGGTGGCCCCGGACACTGAGCCTGGCCCTGGTGACCAGAGGCTGCTGCTCAGGGAGTATCCCCTCTGGTTTCCTACAAACATGTATTCCAGAGCTTCTGCAGAACTTTGCAGCAGGAACAGGAGCCCAGGTCCCCAAGAGCGTAGTGAGCCGACTGCTCCTGTTGCTGACCTGGCCGAGTTTTTCCTGTTACTTCTCCGCCTGGGATTCCTGCCTGTCCCCCTCCGCTGTCCTCCTCCAGTTCCTTGCTAACCTGCTGCTGGTGTATTCACAGCCTCGGGCACACCGCAGCCATCTGCACACTTTCCCCTGCCACCTGAGCTTCCTGAGCCTTCCAGCTCCCTCCCCCGCACAGGCCTGCCTCCTGGGCTTTCCCTTGCGTCCTCCACCCTCCCCCCACTCTCTGTGCCCATCTCAGGCTTCCCGCCCTCACTTCTCTGTCTGACCCTTGCTTTCTCCTCCCCCACTCTGCTTGCTCATTGGTGCCCAGCTTGTCCCTCTGCCCTGTGCTTTAGGGAGACCCCAGTCCTGGCTCCCTGCTGTCCCTTCTGAGGGACTGCCTGCTTCTCTCCCTTCCCTTCATGTTCCTTCACTTCCACGCAGACCAGCATGGTGGTCACCCTGTAACCTTGCCGCCTCTCCCTCCTGGCCAGGCTCCTCAACTCTGACCCTCAAGATGCTCCTGCCTGTTGGGCTGGGAGCTGCTAAGAGGACGGAGGGGAGTGCTGCTCTTCAGGCAGGGGGCCTTGCAGTGCATTTGCCCTGGGTCTTGGTGGTTGGCGTTTTTACATTGCTGAGGACCTCAGCACACTCACGAAGGGGCTCTGTCCCACACTGGTGGGAGCGGTGCCCACCGCCTCACCTGGATAGCCTTGGGATTCACACTGTGTGGGATGTAGGAGAGACCGGAAGGGATGACCAGAAGGAACCAAAAGCCAGGCTGTGGGCTGTGCTGGTGGAGGACAGAGGCAGACGGGCCTTTTCCATCCCTGCTAGGTCCAGAAGCGCATCCCCTGGCTCTGAGAATAGCTCCCATAGAAGAGGGGTGCACACTGCCATGACATAATGATAATAATAATAATAATACTACAACTGCACATGCCCTGGCTGTCACAGTGGGAAAACAAGCCCTCAGGGAGGGAGCTGCTGGCAGTGTGGGGTTGCACTGTGGCCCTGGAACCCTCACTGCTGTCACACGTGAGTGTCGTGCTGCGTGTGTGTTTGTCAGCTACCTGCATGCTTGTGCACTGCATGCCCATGACTGCAGCAGCAGTGTATCCACAGCTGAGCTCCTGCAGGCAGGGGCTGTGGACCTGGGCATCGCGGCTGCCATGGACCCTGTGGAGGCGTGGACAGCCCCCTCGGGGAGCAGCAGGGTGACGCTGGCAACGGGATAGGAGCTCACCTGCACAACTGCTTGCCCAGCTCTTTCCTTTCTTTCAGTCCTCACGGTAAATTCGCAGGGCTGATTTCCTCCTACTGTGTGGGCCAGAAAGCTGAGGCAGGCGTTGTGCAAGAAGACGCCTTGTCGCCCGCAGACAGGAGCACATGACTGTCCTGGAGGCACCGGCCTCCTGGACCTCCCTGCCCCTGCAGCTCCCAGACCCAGGCTCCTTGCACCCCTGTCTTCTCCTCGTCTCCTTGGATGCCCTTCCAGCATCTCCTGCTCCCCGCCCCAGCCTGGCCACCCACAGAGAATTTCTGCACAGCTGTTCACCCGCCTTCCTAGCACCTATCCTAGCTCTGGGTCCAGAGGTGTCCTGCAAATGAAAGGCAACGCAGGCAGCATGGATCGTTCCCAGTCACTTTTCTCTATCTGAGCTCTCTCTCTGTCTCTGTCTTCTCTCTTTCCCACTGATGTGTACCATTAGTTGGAGAACAGATGAGGTTATATGTTTTCATGTCGATTTTACCCATCATTCTTCTTTTCTTCTTTCATTCTGTCTCAGCACCTTACGGAAAGAAATGAGAGTTGACCTCTTCCGTCACCAGGGGCCACTGTCCCGGATGGTCACAACTGTGAGACCCTACAACCCCTTCAACAGGAAGGAAAAAGAGACTGTACTCTTCTGAAAGAGACCACGCCCCAGTGTGCACAGTGTAATGGGGAATAAAAGATCCAGAATGCCCTTGTGTGTCCTAGTGACATCTGTGGACCTCACAGAAGCTCCGAAGTGCCCCCATAACTAACCTATGATAATTCTTGGAGCAGGAGTTTTACACTTACCTTTCTTACAGGATGTGAACCCAGGAGTAATGATGATCAAACTCAGGATCTTGGAACTGAGCTGAATCTCAAGCCCTTTTTTGAAATTTTTAATTTTGAGGCAGTTGCTAAATTGCCAGGCTGGGCTTGAAATTTGCATTTTCCTGTCTCAGCCTCCTAAAGCACTGGGATTATAGGTGTGTACTGCCATGCATAGCCGTAGCTTCCTATTTTATAAATAACATACACTGAGTCTTGGAGAAGTGAAGCACTTATCTGGAATTTATATTTTCCCAACTTAGATGTCTTACCTGCCCCTCCACTTTCCCACAGATTGGATGATCTTCACTGGATTATCAAATCAAAACCAATAGAAAGCAAGAAGGAAGGAAACCTCTGCTGTCTCTAGCGTTTCCTGATGTGGTTCCTAGGAATTCTTCCCGCAGGCTTCTTCCCCAAATGCAGAGTGAGACCGTGACCCTGCAGAAGTCCAAGTAAATGTGTAGCCCTCGAGGGGCTGGGTCTCTCTTTTTCCACAGAGAGGGAAATTGGCTCTTTTTGTTGAAGAATGATGTTTGAAACAGGAAAATCCTGCTGCCTCTCAGGAGAATATGTGATGAATCATTGCACATGGACACCCACTGCCCTCTGTGTCTGCAGGTCCCACATCCACAGAGTCAAACAACCAAGGATGGCAGACATTTGAAAACACTGTATTTGAACCGATGAGACACAGAATTTTCATGTCATTTCCTCAACAATACAAGGCAACAACTATTTATGTAGGATTTACATTGTAAGTAATGTAGAGATGATTTAAAGGGCATTGAATGCCAGGCATGGTGAAGTATACCTGTAAACCCAGCACCCAGGAGGCTGAGGCAGGAGGATCACCATGTATTCGAGGTCAGCCTGGGCTACATAGTGAGTTCAAGGCCAGCCTAGACTACAAAGCAAGATCCTTGTCTCAAAAAACAAATTACATTGGAAGATGTGTGTGGGTTTTAGGTAAATCTATGCCATTTTATTTGAAGGACTCAAACACCCACAGATTTTGAGGTTGGGGAGCTATAACTACCCCCCCCAGTCGGTATGGAGGGATACCAGTATGTTGAAATATAATATTCACATGAAAAAGTTAATAAAGCCTAATAGTTATTATCTTGGAAAGAAACACAACATAGTAAGTGCAAAAGCACATTTTAGAGCAGTATGTATTATCCCTTTAAATTATATGTAGTAACAGGAAGATATAAAAAAAAAGGTTAATACCTATTACTGCTCTGTTTGTAAGTGCGTTTCTTTAAAACTGGAAAATCTGAAGCTATAAAAAGTCACTATCCCTTATATAAAAAGCTTTTTATATAAAAAAGAAGATTAAAAGCCCCTTTTAAGAATTTAGAACAGGAAAATGTTTGTGGAACTTGTTTCTGAGTCTGTCGGGTAAATGCACACCTGCCTTGTTCATTTCCAAAGCTTGATGGTTCGCAGCACAGAGAGAAGTAAAATCAGATAAGGTGAAGCATTTCCATTTTCCCCTGCCAGCCAGGAAGCTCAAGGCTGATTAAATAAGCACACTGACTTAGACCCTGGAACAAATGGAAACCAGTTTCACATTCAGGACTGCTATTTTAAGAAGCCTTTGAGTCATGCCCTACACACCCAAGATTGTGGTGGTTTGTGGACCTGCTACCCACCCACCTCTGCTTTCCCCGTGGTGTTAGATCTGCTGGCATCACTCTAGCACCCTGGTAGTATCAGAAGCTCCCTTAGATCTTCTCGAAAACTGCTAAGATGCAAATTAGGTTGAAAATATTTAATTTTTCCCAAAAGTGTTTCACATATACAATGCAGTGGGTGGGGGTTTGAGAAAGGAAATAAAAGCAAATCCTTTCCCTACTCGATGTCCAAACTGCCTTTGCTGTCAGAAAGGACAATTGGTCCAGTAGGAGGAGTGACCTGAGCCCAGAATGGTTTTCTAATAAGTGAGAACATTCAACAGTACACCTTTTTGCTCCTATTAGCTCAGGTGGATGAGATTGTCTTTCATCTCTGGGAAGCACAGACTTTGTCACTGTGAGCTGTAAACCGCTAAACCTAAAAGACAACAAAAATGTAAAATTAAAGAATATAATAAAAAGAAAGAGCAGGCATGTTTCTCTGCAAAGCGTATTTTTTAGATTGATCATTTAAAATATCTGCTTGAGGGGTGGGGATTTAGCTCAGCGGCATAAGCACATAAGCACCTGCCCTGCAAGCAGGCAGTCGTGAGTTCGATCCCCGGTACGGATAAAAATGAAAACGACAAAAAAAAAAAAAATCTGTTTGTAAACAAATCTTGCATGGATTCTCTTATGTGAAAATCCAAAAATATAAATAAAGAGCAAAACAGAAGACAGATAATGCACAGGAGGGAGACAGATCCTGTGGGAGGGAGATGGAGAGGTAGGGTGAGGAGGGCAGGACAGGGGAAGAGAAAGCCCTGAGATGAACTGTGCTCCTGCACTAACTCCCCACGAGGAGTTTGGAGTGTGAGCCTCAGGTCCTGGGGTATGCACTAATAAAATACACATTAAAGAAAGACAAAGTGAAAGATCTACTTGAAAAGGGGCATTTCAATCCCATTCCATCGGGTGACCCATCGAGGTACCACAGCCAGTCTGGACCTGTCCAGCTGCCTCGTTACCTGGGAGACACAGCAGCTGGAGCAGCTGAAACCTGAGCCTCGTGCCTTGGCTGTAATTGTGAACATTCTTCCTAGTGGGGCCCAAATCATGTGTGGGGCAGCCTGTGACAGATAACCTTCCTTTTCCAGTACAAGCTCATTATGGGTTCAGCAGCTCCTGGCACACACAGGTGTCAAGGAGCCCTGTGATACCAGGGCCCATGGGCTCCACACCCAGTCAGGTCCAAGAGCAAACAGGATCCATGGCTCAAGAGTCACCCAAAAATACATGTGGATGCTAAGGGGGCCTCGGCAAGGACCAGCTGTCCACACACTCTCAAGCCAGGCAAGGATGGCCTTTCAACTTTAGTTACCTGAGTGATCTTTCTTAAAAACTATGCTCTGCTTTTAAAAATTGAAATGTTGTGTCCTTTTGCAAGATAAGTGTGCTCCTACCTATGCATCTATGCAAATATGCTGAGAGGACAATCCAGGAGTAAGTAGGGACACATCTGTAGTGAAATTTCATGCTTTTTTTTTTTTTTTTTTTTTTTTTGTCTTTTTCATTTTTATCGGTACCAGGGATCGAACTCACAACCACCTGCTTGCAAGGCAGGTGCTTATGCCGCTGAGCTAAATCCCCAGCCCCTTGGTGAGATGCTCTTTCTGAAAGTATGAATTCCATGGGGCGAGGCATGTTACCCACCTGGACATGTTACCTGGACAGGAACCTAGTAGTGCTCAGTACATGTTATAGAAACTACAGGGAGATACAGATTCTGGGCTGGGCACCATCATTGTTAGAGCTTTGTGTCAGTATTCTTCCGAAACAGCATCTGGTTTTAGTCAGTGCACTTGTTTTTTGTTTTGTTTGGACTTTTTCATGACAGCCAGCTTTGAACACACTACAATACCCTTCACCAAGGCAGTTCCTGTTTCCTTGCCCAATGGAGAGTTGGCGCTCCCTAATGAAGAGGACAGGTGCTTGGAGGAGGACTGCGGGCTGGCCATGCCTGCCAGCTCCGATTCTGCCTGTTACCCAAGGGGCTCCCGGGCAAACTCTTTGCTTCTACTTCTGTAAACTGCGAAGTGTGTTGGGTGAGCACCTATTTCTCCAGGGCTGGGAGACCGTTTTCGTTGTCTTCTGTGGGCAAAGCCACAAGATGGAAGATAAGGGGAGACTTGGTGTGGGGCCAGGCAGGGAGCAGAGCAGAGGGAAGGGCCCGTGGGGGCAGGGTGCCCAGGCTTGTAGGGTGGACAGCGGGAGGGACAAGGCAGCACCATGAACCATGCCAGCTCCACAGTGTCTGCTCTCAAGGGACCCAGACCCTCAGGTACCAGCCTCTCACTGCATGGCCCAGCTGCAGGCTTCCTGGGGGATCGCTGAGCTATAGGGCAGGTTAGGGGAAGGATGGAGGTGTGCGGAGCAGAGCAGAAATCCAGAGAGACCAGGCAGATGCATGGAGTGGTAGGGGACAGCCAGGTGGTGTGTGGGGACACTGTGTCACCTGCATCCTGCTAAAAGGAACCACTGCTGGTCAGCAATTCCCAGTTGAGTGGGCAGAAGAGGTAAAGGCAGCCACGCCTGGGTACATGGCAGGTGGTTTCCTGGACCCACAGGCACCCAGGCCTGCAGCTTCTCAGGTCCATGGTGCAGCATGAGAGTTTGCACCACGTGACCCAGACGCATCCTCGCATGGAGATTTTTTTTTTAGCAATTAGCAGGTATTTTTATTGAACTTTGGAAGGAAGAAAGGCAAGCTAGCGGAACATCCTAGTCTCCATTGGGAAAATCTACCCAAGCTTCTGTTACTTTTCTCTGGGTTATTTACTTTATTGATTTATTGATTGATTGATTTTATTAGGATGTGTCTGTGGCGCAGAATGCTTACACTCTTTGTGTCACGCAGTGTAACACAGCCCCCCCTTTTTCATTCCCTTCTGCTCCCTTCTCTCCCCCTACCTCCCTCCCTTGGCCCCTTCCTCATCTGAGAAAGATCTAACTCTGTGCTTCCTGCTATTTATCTGTCACTCTGCTCTTTTTCCACAATTTGGATTTCATATGAAAGAGAAACCACGTAATATTTAAGCTTATGCATCTGGTATACTTCCCTTAACACTGTGGTCTCCAGATGCACCCATTTCCCTACAAACGAGTCGTTTATCTTTTCTTATGGCAAAGTAGGACTCCCCTGTGAGTAACACCACACTGCTCCTCCATACATCTGTTGATGGACACAAAAGCCATTTCCAAGACT